CAACCTGAGCGGGCGCAGGCTGTGGCATGGACACCATGCAGGAAAAATTTGGAATGCACGGGGAAAGTCAGCACCACGTTGCTGTGACAAAAACACCAATATACAACACGAAACACGTGCCTCACGAGCACTGTGTTGATTGGAGGCGAGGGCACGTGACCTTTGTATGTGCTGTGGCCTTAGTAACCTAGGGGGCACCACTGGATTAAGAAGGTGAGAGGTATGAGGGCAGGAGCCTCATTGCCAAGAGTGTCCTGGGCCACCAACCGGCAAAAGCAATAACAGAAATAAAGCAAAACCAAAACCAAATAAAAACCAGCACAAAAACAACAAAATACTAATTCGGAAAAGAAGAAATAGAAAACAGTACAGAAACCGGTCAGTGAAACCCAGTTACAGAAACGGCGTGTTTTAGGATGATCGTCACGCCCATCAGTACACAGGCATGGACACGGGGAACAGAAGGCGCCCGGCCATAAGAGCGCCCTCGCCCCGTGCCGCCCCGTGCCACCCCGTGCCGCCCCGTGCCGAGGGATTCGCTATCACTCACGTGCGGAGTCCTGCGGAGCTTGGCAGCCGAGAGGGCAGATGCGAGGCTGCAGAACGGAGTCGGGGAGAGGCCGGGGGAGGTGGGGGACGACACTCGCCATGGAGAGAGGCGCACGGGCGGTGGCGGCGGGGGCGGCGGTGGGGGGGGCGGGGGGGCCACAGATTGCCCCCCCCCAGCGGGGGCCTCAGTCTCCTCAACTGCACGACCGCAGACGGGGAAGCAAATGAGTGGCGCAGAAAACAGAGTGGAGTGCAATGTGACACTCTCACTTCGCAGAAGAAACATCGTCTCTGGAAAATTCCGTCTGAGTCTGGTGTCTGTGCGGGTCTGGCGTCTGTGCGAGTCTGCTGTCCGTGTGCATTTGTCCCATTTTACTCAGGGTGGACGCAGATGTTTCCCTGGTTTCGCGATCGGATGCTCACCGCAATCGGACGACGCCTCGGAGTCGACGGAGAAGGAGCTCGCAAGCCGTGGGTGGCGGCTGCGAGCGTGGGCCGGGCGCTCCAACCTCGCCGGCTCCGCTCCGTTCAGCTCCAGCTGTGAGCTAGCCGGGAGGTCGTCGTGCAGGCCATCACTCCCCACCTCTTCCTCCTCTCTCCTCTCCTGCTGCTCTTGCTGCTGCTGCTGCACCGGCCTACGCCCTGCGCCGTTTGCGGTGCGTGCCATGAGTGGGCTGAACGGCAGAGCGACGGGCCCAAAGGGCCGGAAGCCTCGGGCCCTCAGGAGCGGTGAGCTCACCATGATGGGGGGGGAAGCCGGGGGCGGGGGGGTTTGAGAGGGGACGGCAGTGCGGGCCAGGATATGGGGGGCCCCTCCGACCGGCGTGGGTGAGGGAGAGCTCTGGGACCTGACCCATGGTCGGGGACCCCCGCAAGGCCTCACAGGATGAAAGGCCGAGCCCAGAGACGTGGCAAACTTGGAGGCCGAGTGGCGCAGTGGGGGGTCCGGGGGGCCTGCGGCGCTGCAGGACGCGGCCCCGATGGAAGAAGGCGAAGGGGGTCCCCCGTTGAGGGGAGCTGGGCCACAGGGGATGATCTCTGACAGGGGGGAGCTCAGGGGGACCTCTGTGCTGGGAGCTCTCGCCGCTGTTTACGAGAGAAACCGAAAACATTAATAATAGTGCAACACGCCGCCCTCATTCCGTGCTATTCGTAATGCGAAAAACACCGCTTACTTTTCCGCTATCAGATGACAAACACGGTCTGCGACTCATTAAAATAACGTCCTACTTTAAATGCCAACGTGTAACATTAGACACAATATTCCGCGGACCTCGCTGCTCATGGCCCCGTCGCACAAAGCGCAATCGCGAGTTAGCAGAGCTGGGCACGTCGAGCGCTTACATGTCGACGTCTCCGCGCACCGCTCCCCCGACCTGGCGCCGTCCGGTAGCGACCCCGTTCCTGCCTCCCCTCCTGTAATCTGCTGCTTCCTCAAATTCTCCTTTCTCCCTGTGTCTCCATGCCTCGCTTGCTCGGGCCATCTGCTGCACGGGAAAGAGTTCAACAGCCACGGCGCAAAGGCTGTGATCGCGAACGTCAACCGAACACGATATCGTCACCCCGACCAAAACACCACCACCGGCCATGCGACACCGGGGCTCACGTTAGGGCTGGCACTCTGGTTACAGCTTAGGGGCAGTAAGGGTTAGGGTTGGGGCACACCACCCACGCTGCCACCACTCACTTTACAAACGGCTTCATGAGGATGGCCGAGTCTGGAGAGCAGCGCTCAATTCGCGGAGCTCAGCGCCACTCACGCCGTATCCTCCGACTGCGACGCGCGCTCTCACCAGCGCTTGATTATTTATAACCACAGACCTCACGACATGACACGGGCTCCACGCAGATCACGACAGGGGCTCCCACACGGCGAGACTAATCTGGGACCGGGATGCAGACCGATTCAACAACACCGATTAAAATGTGCGGCTTAAAAAAAGTTTTCCGTTAGACGTAACCGGGTGGCTTTGCGTGTTAAAAATGGCCATATCAGGCCCCCGAGCCAGCACCAACAAGATCCTGGGTTCAAACCCAGGTCTTGGTCACTCAAAATGAATTGGGCTCGTTGAATTGAGCGAAGCAACCTGATGCGTAAACTCATTCACAGGTGGCTTCATAGAGATGCCATCGCATTCTATTTGTTTTTTATTTGACTCCTCTGAGGATTTAGGTGAAGTTGGTTTTATTTATCCCACACCTCCGGTTAGCACAGTTGGCTACATACAGAGCGAGAAAAGTTTAACATAGATACGTGTCACAAACACGGAGTGGTGGCAAAGTGGTTAGCGCACTGCACTAAAAACCCTGCAACCCGAGTTGATTCACGAACACAGCCAACATCAGTGGAGAGATTTCAGAACCAGTGGGAACTCAAAGTGCACATCACTGCTGGCTCAATCTCACACCTCTCCTCTCCCTCACTACAAACTCTCAAGAGTGAATTAAACTACAACTGTTCACCACAGCACAGGGTCCCACTCTTGAGGGTCCTACCCACAGGGGTCCCCCACCCTAGGGGTCCCACTCATCACCTGCTGTCCCCAGGAGGAGTGCCCCCCCTCTGCGAGTCCCGGGCAGCGACGCAGCCCCGCGTGCTGGAGGAACCGCTCCGTGTCAGTGTGGGACCTGCGTGGTCACGGGACCATCGTCAGAAACCGCGCCACCTTCCCCACAACTCCACAACACAATCACAACAAACACGCGCCTCGTCCAATAGGGCACCGGGCGCTTAGTTTGACTCGCTGTGCCCGGTTCAAGCCTCAGGCTGATTTGGTTCACCAGATCTCGAAAGAGCAGGACCAAGGATGAGTCTCATTGGTAAGAGAAACTCGGGTCACCCACATCACAAACGCAATCACGTAAACACAATGAAGAAAATAGAAATCGGAGCAAAAACAACTGCGTTACAGAAGAAATCTTAAGCATGAATCACAAAATTAAATGTAATTGCCTGAAAGGAAACTTCGCTCAAATTACTTTTAAAAACCGAAAAGTAAAATGAGACCTCACAAAATGGAGAACGAGGGAAAACCGTGACCCCTCAATCACAACACACTCGCCTCACCGCAGTAGCACTCGTATTACACGGAAACGGCACGACCATTGAAACCCCCGTGGACAGGAACACAGTGGCGGTGCGGTGGTAAAAGTACAGGGTGGAAAGTGGGACACTCACTCATGAGAACGATGTCGGTCCTGCTGATCTTGCGAGCTGGGAGCTGCTGGGCCATGGGCATTGCTCTCGGCAAGCGGGGCCCGCAGTGGGCGAATCAGTGGCGACGGAAATTCCGCTGGCACAGCCGATGGCTCCGTGCCGGCGCGGTCTGCGACACGCAGCTGTCGAACGTCGCGCGACGTTGTTGAGCAGGAGGCGGCAGCAGCACGCGGGCGTCGGGTTACGGATATGTTTTTATGTTTTTGTGTTTTCGTGTTTTTAGCCGGGAGGGCCTCATGGGCGGCGCTACGCTGGGCGGGATGAACGACGAGCTTATTTAAGACGCGCCGCCAAAAATAGCAACGTCAGCTGCCACGGCGTGGGTTTACGCACACGTTCACTCACACGTTGACTCGTAGAACACACGTCACGTCGTGATACACAGTTGAACTTGCAGAGACATAAAAACGATCTAAAGGAAAGAAAAAAATGTACGCGGATGCCGACCGCACAAGCGCAGAACAGACGCTGCCTTTGGCGCACTCCTCTGGACTGCAGGGATCGAGTCGGGGAGGTGCCGCGATATGCACGAAGAGACAGGACCCCCGTGTCTGGCATCGAGCGACTGGGCACGCATCCAGCACCGTGCAGCTGATGGTCTCCAGGAGGGTTTTGCATGGCCCGGGATGTGTGGAATCTGGAGTGTGCGCCAGGTTCATGGAGCCAGAAAAGACGCAGTCGACGCGATTCCCAAGGCGCAGCGGGGAAAGCGAGGGGCCGTCCTGACCTCCTGCGAGCTCAGCCGAGGCCTGATGCCTTGGGCCAACGCCTCACTCAGCTCTATGGAGAAACCGTCACCTGGAGTGGCACACAAAGGCCGTTGACGCAGAACATCTGAACGCGGTGCTCTCCAAGCCCCCACAGGAAATTACTGATGGAGCTAAGTTGAAGCAAGATGCATCATCCACCAGAATTGTCTTGATAGGAAATCAGCGATGGCAATGAGCGATTGTGGTCTTATCTCAATATTTGTATTGAAATCAGTGTGAATATGATCACTGCTGGCCCGACGGTAGAGCGAGCGGCGTGCAAATGGAAGGTCGTGAGTTCGAATCCTGGTTTGGGGGTCGACTCAGCCCATCATCTCAACCTCTATAGAGTCAAAAAAATTCATCACATGTGGGGAATTCAACGGTGTTGCTCCGTTTGCTTTCGAGGACCTGGGCAGCACAGCAGCTGCCGTTGTGAGCAGCGCGCACACAGCCGCAGAAACACAAACCATGGACACGAGGGACACCGGTAACCCAAGGTTTATTATCCGGTTAAGGACAAAGTCAACGAAGCCAAACTACTGAGCGGGAACCCATAGATCCCATAACATGAGATTCATGTGCACCCTGCATCTCCCCAACCCCATGCCAGGAGCTGCCTTGCATGGCCACGATACCTATGAACACACAGACACTTCTTCACTTTATTAACAGAATCATATCGCCCCGCTGAATGAGATCAGTTACTTGCGTCACTCCGACATTACTGCTGGTCCGAGAATTAGTCCGGGATTCGTGTCGGCGTATTCGCCAAAGCAGTACAAATGGAAACACCGTAGTCGATCGACCAGCAGGTCGCATGTGCAGGGGTAAAGTGTGGGCCACGCCCACCTCTTCCAACGCACACGTCTGTTCAGCGTGGAAGAGTAGGCCAAATACCATCTAGAGATCCGTCTGGCGGAGACCACTGCCACCAGCTGCGGTGTGAGCGAACAGTTTCAGGGCTCCAACTTTATCGCCAATGCCTTGTCGTTAAGAGGCCCCGCTAGGCATCGCCGCGAGGGAGAGGCCTGTGCGGTCACTCACCCTGGTCCCAGTGGAAACCGCGCAGCCTTGAGGGGGGACCAGCAGGGGCGACCCGGCCTCTAACGAGGGCCCTAGGACCCCTCCCCTCTACGACAGTCTCGCAAGATGCAGCAGCAGTCTCACAAGACAGGAAAGCGACACCCAGGGTACAAATCAACTTTACCGCTCCGGAAATCAACTGAAACGTCAGCCGAACCGATCTCTCGTTTAGTTTCTGGAATGTGGGGGTGACGACGCGACGAGTCTCCCCATGTTGTGCCGCCACCGGCGTGGCGGTGAATTCCGCGAGGACCACCGGGCCCCGCCGCCTCCGCCCTCACCACAACCTCGGCTGCTGCACCCGGATGTGGGGGTTGGCCAGGGGGTCGAGCAGGGGGTCGCTGTCGGCCGCACCCCGGCCTAGCTGGCTCATGACCAGCAGTAGCGTGAGGAACGCCAGCAGCCCCAGCACCAGCAGCACAACTCGGCGCTGCCTCCGGGCCCCGGCCACCAGAGACGCGTCCTTCCTGCGCGACTGCGGGGCCGACCGTGACCTGAATGCGTGCGGAGAAACGACGCACCGTCGCCAATTGGCAAGCGCCCAGATGCCGAAGCGAGGCGGCAGCCCGACAGCACGTGAAGGTGGTGATGCAGAGCACGCTCACCGGAACCAGCGGGCGAGCCACTGCAGCGCCGGGCGTCGCCGGTACTTATCTTCGTCCGTGTCGACGTGGATGCTCGTGGATTGAAAGGGCTCCCGGGCGGTCGCGTCGTACACCTTCCTCTGCGCCGATGCCACCGGGCTCGCTGGAGAGAAACGGAGGTGAAGCAGGAGAGGAAGAAGCGAGCTTAAGCCTCAAACGGTGATGCCTTTCGTGGCGAATGCAGAGGCGCACACACACAGAATTCTCTGCATCTGGTGGCAAAATTTTAACGCGGTGATTTGGAGAGCAACACTGGTTGGCTGTGTGATGTGATGAACATACTCTGGTGATGTAATGATGTAAGTTGTGTAGCGATATGAGTGACGTGATGTGATATGGTACATGATATGATCTGAATGATGTGATGATGTACACCACCTGTGTGTTCGTCCCCAGGGCTGTAAGCGATGGCTGGTGCTGGGTCTCCCCCGGTTCCACTCAGGGGTCCCCCATCTCCCACCCCCCGGGCCCCCACCGTGACCGCCCTACCCCCAGCCCCATCCTCAGGCTCTCCGCGCTGTTCCTGCATCGCTCTCGTTCCGTCTGTTGCTTTCACAGAACGCACGGGCACAAACGGTTTACTCACAAGCTTCGTTATCATTATGCCACTCGGTTACCCAGCAACATTACGAGTCTCAAGACTCTTTTTCAGGAGGGTCCTGAAATATTTTGCAGTAGGGGGCAATATTTCCATGTGTTATCCCAATTGAGTAAACTGCGGGTAATTCTTCACCATTGGGATGTTTGGCCAATTACCAATTCCACTGTTTATTTTTATGTTTATGTATTTTCTGCCGTTACCAAGTTTCTGTAACCAAGTCCCCATCGTAAATGGCGGAAACTGGAGAACCTGGAGAAAACCAATGCAGAATGTGGAGAGAAATTCCACATGGGGATAGCCAGAGTTGGAATCGAATTCAGGCGCCCAAATGCTACAATTCACAATTGGCTTCACGGAGAAGGTGACGCTGGAAAATATGCATGGAAAACGAGCGCTGGGCGATCAGATGTCCCCTCGCAGGACGAGCGTTACCGTGAAACGACGACGATGCCGGTGGCCAGTCCTGGTAGTCAGTGACGTCGAGCTGGGCTTCTTTCGAGGTGGCCTCCGGTTCCTCGATCTGGTGCAAGAGAGAGACTTGAGCAGCACACAGCGAGCATCTGCACTCACACCACCCTCTCCATACTCGCTCCATACTCACACCACACGAGCACCGCACAGGCACCGCACAGGCAGCTCACTCGTGCCACACTCGCATTCAAACCATACTTACACCATACTCATACCATACTCATACCACATACACCACAACAACAACGACAAAGATCCCCCATATAGCCTCAACATACTTTTGGGGAAAGTGCCGTTAACGAGCACCTATGAAGGCCGGCACGGTACCCGCACCACGCCCGACTGCCTTTGTTTATCTAGTGGCGATGTTTATACACCGCACCAGGTACTCATTTAAGCCTGAGTCGACCTAGGGGAGGCCCAGAACCGGTTCAAATAATCATCACTGGTGTTGGCCGTGCGCGGGAATCGAACCTGGGGCGCGGGAATCGAACTTGGCTTTGCAGGGTTCGTAGCACAGCGCGTTAACCCGCTGCACCACCGCTCCCTCCTCACAATCGCACTCGCACCGCACTCTCCCCCTTACCACAGAGAGGCCCAGACCCGCTCGGGCCCAGTTTACGGAGCTGAGCTGAGCGCGGAGGGCCGTGGCGACGGGCCCCGCCAGGTTGGGCGACGGGAAGATGGGGGCCTTACAGCTGGGACAGCAGTACCCGGCAGGCGCCGTGTTGGGGGGCAGCTGTGCCGCCATGGTGTTCAGGCATGCCCAGTGAAACACATCTGCAACACGCACGCCCGAGGCTCAACGGTGCGGCAAACAGGAGGCCCGGTGAGCTCCTGAGACGAAGAATCCATTGGGGAATCTCACAGTCGAGCAGTGCGGCCCTTTGTGTATCGGGAATGGCCTAGGGAAGCGGTTAGGGGCCGTCCATAAATGACGTCACGCGATTTTGGACGATTTTTGACCCCGCCTCGTCACACGGCGTCACAAAAAGTCAACCCCCCGCCTCCCTCAAATATGACGTCACAAAGCTCTGCCCCCCCCCCAAAACCATATTTCCATTTTGAAAATAAAACATGCTTCAAATCGCTTTAAACTATTGTCATTGTATTCTTGGTTCTTTCGGTAAAGTCACGTAGCAGGGAAACAATAAAATAATAATATATATAAAACAATAAAATTCTCACGTTTCGACTGCTTGTGTTATATATTTTATTATTTTATTGTTTCCCTTCTACGTGACTTTACCGAAAGAACCAAGAATATGAATCACTGCAGTCAAGAAAGCTTTAAATCAAAATTTATTGTCATTGTAGTGCGTATTTAATGTGGCGCTGCGCTCTGATGTTGCAGGAGAAAACATTCATTAAAAAGTATATTTAATTAAGCATGTGACGTCACATTTCTCAAACCTCCCCCCCGCCCTCTCGTCACACATCGTCACATATGTCTGACCCCCCCCCACCACCACCACCACCACCTAGGTGCGTGACGTCATTTATGAACGGCCCCATATCACGTGCAACTACCGTGGCGATCCCTTCTTCATGTAACGTACACTGACACCGACACGCACGCAGACGACTCGCATCGATCGGGCTGTGACGAATCCAGGTTCACCGGTGTCAAGTTATTGTGCGTGCTGGCCAACACTCACCGTAGCACATGAGGCGCACGGTGTCCCCGCCGGCGAGCGCCGTGCTGCACAGTGGGCAGTCCGGGCTGTAGTCGCTGTCTTGCAGCCATTGCAGGTACGACTGTACGATGCACTGCGGAGACGGAGACACAGCAAGAGAGAGAGAGAGGCAGAGACAGAGACACACACACACAGAGGACGCAGACAGAACCGGAGACACAAGAGAGACGTAGAAACAGACACGGTCAAAAAATGAACAGGTAAAAAGAGGCACGGGATGAGACACTGAGATCGGTCGGTGGAAACTCGTGACACGGGTGACACGGGTGACACGGGTGACACGGGTGACTGGCGAAGAGCTCGACTGTTAGCTCTCCCGCTGTGCTGTTATCCGAGTAGTCGGTTACCCGAGCGGTCGCAGACGCGACCGCTCAATGCCCCTGTTGTATCATTTGACTGAAGGCTCCACGGCTCACCAGTGCCCACGCAACACGGCGCTCGCCAGGCCAACGCTGCCGCCCCCCCCCCGACCCCGACCCATCCCTCGCCTCACTATTTTTTATACGGACCCGTGGAGGATGACGATGAGCTGAGTCAACACACCGCGTCTCACCCCTAACCCAGGGGTTGCCACCTTGTCCACAGGACAGGTCTGTCAATGTGGCCGGGTCTGTTAGAGCGGCGCCGTCACCCGCGACAGAGTTCAGCACCCGCGACACGGAGATGCCAGATCCGGAACAGGTGGCAACCTTCGCCTCACGCGCCCCTCGCCTCGGGAGTCTCTCGCCTCGCGCGTCCTTCGCCTCGCGTCCCTCGCATCGACCCCGTGCCACGCCTCACCTTGCCGTGGGACGCCGCGAGGCAGTGCTCGCAGACGTTGACGCGGTGCTCGAAGCAGAAGAGGTTCGTGACGAGCCGCTTCGGGCATTTGCACAGCCCCATGCCGCTCGACCCTCCACTTCCGCTGCCACGTCTTCCTGGTGTGACGCGCTTCCGGTGCGTGACGTCGCGCCGCTCCTCCACGTGGTCCGTTGCTCGCGTGCCGCCCCCGCCCCGCCCACTCACCCCACTGCAGGTCACGACCACTCACCCATCCACTCACTCAACCACTCACTCATCCACTCACTCAACCACTCACTCATCCACTCACTCATCCACTCAACCACTCACTCATCCACTCAACCACTCACTCATCCACTCAACCACTCACTCATCCACTCACCCCACTGCAGGTCACGACCACTCACTCATCTACTCACCCATCCACTCACCCATCCACTCACCCATCCACTCACCCCACTGCAGGTCACGACCAATCACTCATCCACTCACCCCACTGCAGGTCACGACCACTCACCCATCCACTCACTCATCCACTCACCCATCCACTCACCCCACTGCAGGTCACGACCACTCACCCATCCACTCACTCATCCACTCACCCATCCACTCACCCCACTGCAGGTCACGACCACTCACTCATCCACTCACCCCACTGCAGGTCACGACCACTCACCCCTCCACTCACCCCACTGCAGGTCACAACCACTCATCCACTCACTCATCCACTCACTCCATTGCAGGTCACAACCACCCACTCACTCATCACTCACCCACTCACTCATCACTCACCCCACTGCAGGTCACGACCACTCACTCATCCACTCACTCATCACTCACCCATCCACTCACCCCACTGCAGGTCACGACCACTCACTCATCCACTCACCCACTCACCCATCCACTCACCCATCCACTCACCCATCCACTCACCCCACTGCAGGTCACGACCACTCACTCATCCACTCACCCCACTGCAGGTAACGACCACTCATTCACTCACCCCACTGCAGGTCACGACCACTCACCCATCCACTCACTCATCCACTCACCCATCCACTCACCCCACTGCAGGTCACGACCACTCACCCATCCACTCACCCATCCACTCACCCATCCACTCACCCATCCACTCACCCCACTGCAGGTCACGACCACTCACTCATCCACTCACCCCACTGCAGGTCACGACCACTCACTCATGCACTCACTCATGCACTCACTCATCCACTCACTCATCCACTCACTCATCCACTCACTCATGCACTCACTCATCCACTCACTCATGCACTCACTCATCCACTCACCCCTCCACTCACCCCACTGCAGGTCACAACCACTCATCCACTCACTCATTCACTCACCCCATTGCAGGTCACAACCACTCACTCACCCACTCACTCATCACTCACCCATCCACTCACCCCACTGCAGGTCACGACCCCTCACTCATCCACTCACCCCACTGCAGGTCACGACCACTCACCCATCCAATCACTCATCCAATCACTCATCCAATCACTCATCCACTCACCCATCCACTCACCCATCCACTCACCCATCCACTCACCCCACTGCAGGTCACGACCACTCACTCATTCACTCACCCCACTGCAGGTCACGACCACTCACCCATCCACTCACTCATTCACTCACCCATCCACTCACCCCACCTGCAGGTCACGACCACTCACCCATCCACTCACTCATCCACTCACCCATCCACTCACCCATCCACTCACCCATCCACTCACCCCACTGCAGGTCACAACCACTCACTCATCCACTCACCCAACTGCAGGTCACCACTCACTCATCCACTCACCCCTCCACTCACCCCACTGCAGGTCACAACCACTCACTCATCCACTCACCCCATTGCAGGTCACAACCACTCACTCACCCACTCACTCATCACTCACCCACTCACTCATCACTCATCCCACTGCAGGTCACGACCACTCACTCATTCACTCACCCCACTGCAGGTCACGACCACTCGCCCATCCACTCACTCATCCACCCACTCACCCATCCACTCACCCCACTGCAGGTCACGACCACTCATCCACTTACCCCACTGCAGGTCACGACCACTCACTCATCCACTCACTCATCCACTCACTCATCCACTCACCCCTCCACTCACCCCATTGCAGGTCACGACCACTCACTCATCACTCACCCCACTCACTCACCCCACTCACTCATCACTCACCCCACTCCAGGTCACAACCACTCACTCATCCACTCACCCCACTGCAGGTCACGAGCACTCACTCATCCACTCACTCATCCACTGCAGGTCACGACCACTCACTCATCCACTCACTCATCCACTGCAGGTCACGACCACTCACTCATCCACTCACCCCACTGCAGGTCACGACCACTCACTCATCAACTCACTCATCCACTGCAGGTCACGACCACTCACTCAACTCACTCATCCACTCATCCCACTGCAGGTCACGACCACTCACTCAACTCACTCATCCACTCATTCCACTGCAGGTCACGACCACTCACTCATCCACTCACCCCACTGCAGGTCACGACCACTCACTCAACTCACTCATCCACTCATTCCACTGCAGGTCACGACCACTCACTCATCCACTCACCCCACTGCAGGTCACGACCACTCACTCATCCACTCACTCATCCACTCACTCATCCACTCACTCATCCACTCACCGCACTGAATGTCCGCTTTCTGCTTCTTCCCTGGCTGTTTCGTTTTGAAATTCCCTCCCATCGTCTTTTCTTCACCAAACTCTTCTAACAATAACCTTGATCAATAAATAAAAACTGCTGCACTCTGTTATACTACTAGTTCATGTCTTCGCCAGGCAAAACTTTCAATTTATAATTAACCTGATATTCTTTTTAGCAATTTTTATCTACGATCAGACTCGAACGACAAAAGAAAACTTGCTGAAACTTATTTAAAGATGTACCCATCGAGAACTGTTCAATTTAAAGATTCCGTTATTTTTTTTTACTAGAAAGAACAAAAAGTAATTAACTTAATAATCTATTATTAGAAGCTCCTATCTTTAACCGTTTGCGAATTATTCAGATTTGATAATCATAAAATGCGTATTTTTTCGTTCAAAACCGCTCAAAAATGTCTAAGATAAAACAATGGTTCTCGCTTTAATTTCATTTGCTGTTTGATGCTCTATCAAATGAAAAAAACCCGCAATCTTATATTTTTAACGGTTTCTGAATGACACGCATAAACATATTAGTGGGGCACTTAAAATCGAGATTTGGGGGCCTTTAAAAAAATCTCAGATCTTCAGATTGTTTCTGTTGTTTCTGTACTAAAGCTACTTATGTACCAAATTTCAGCCGTCTACCTGGTTGGGAAGTACCCTAGAGGGTTTTGAGACACATATTTACATACAGATTAAGGTCTCTATAGAGAAGAATGTTCTTGTTTGAACAAGGCGTGCATCCATGATGTTGTGTAGATGTGCCGATGCCGGAACAGCGTGTTTATAATTACAAGCCCATGGGCTGCACAGAAGTCTAGCAGCCTCCTTCCGTTATTATTGAGCTGATCTGGCCCATGCCCTCCGATCACTCCAACCCAGCTGTCTGCGTCATGACCCACCCAGGCATTAAAGTCACCTAATAGGATGACTCGATCCCAAGGGGCCAGGAGGTTATAGAAGGCAGCTGACTCATCGCCCTTGTCTGCATCCCTCCACTGATGTTCATCTTCGGTGGGGGCGGAAGCAACCACCACCACTATTCCTCGCCTCTTGTTGATGGGGAGGCGAGCCCACAATAGCCTGGGACTGACAGCTTAAAAAGGAACACCCCCTCGTACATGACATGGGCGTCAATGTCGGAACAATCCGGAGTGCAACGGTGAAGAAGCACCGGGACTGATGACACCGAGATCATTGTGTGCCGAGGTTGGGCGCAATGTGAGGAGGTGGATCCATTTGGTTGGTGACGTGGCCCAACGGGTGGAGCGAGTGGCAGCTCACAAGTGGAAGGTCGGAAGTTTAAATCCAGCTCATACGAGCTGGACAATCACTAACTCCAGCGGCAGTACAGCACCAGTGGCTGTCTGGCTTTAGTGGCAGTACAGCACCAGTGGCTGATGAGCTGGTTCAGGGTCGGTGAGGCACCGCTACCAAAATCCCTGCCCCTCCACCCCATTGCACCGCACTGCCCGATCATCTACCGTTCGCTTCTTGTTTACGAGGATCCAGTGTCGCCCCGTGAACGCCAGTTAATCTCGCGACATTACAAAGAACACAAATCTCAAAACATTGAACGTTTACTATTTTACAAAACACAAACGTGTTATAAATTTCACTCCCACAGTGAAAAACTAAAGGGGAGGAGCCGAGAGAAAAAACTCAAAACACAGGAACAGCAACCCCCACCCTGGTGTCCACCCACTATGGTCTGGGCCATCGTGGCCAGGTCAGCCTTGTAAAAGAGTCTGTTGAGGTTCTTAGTTGGTGAGATAATGAACTCTCCGACTCAGACAGAGAAAACCCAGACCAATTACATTCTACGCAGACCCATTGGTGTGCACAGTCGCATACGCCTTCAAAAGTTAACGCAACAACGTTCTCCACTGTTGTGTGAAGTGAGAAGAGCCCCGATCGGCTGAGCCGCGCGCCGCCCTGGTCACACGCCCGCCGATTCGCACCTCCAATTATCGTGGGAAAGAAGTTCAGCAAACGTACATACATGTGCCCCTCAGCCATGAGAGGCATGTATGTACGGCTGGGGTACGGGGGACCCTCAGAGAACAGGAGTTGCAGTGATGGTGCCGGCGCCGTCCGTGGAGGTCAGGGAAGGCGGCCACTCTGGGGCCGCCGGCCCGCGAGCACCGACCAACGGGATGGGAGAACCCGTGATGTCTCTACCCAAGCCTCCACCTTCCCTCTCCGTAGAAGACGAAGCAGACAGTTTTCTTCCCGCCTCGCCCCCAAGGTGGCTGTAGAAAATGCTATACAAGTCCTTGGCGTTGGCCGTTGCTAAGCAGCCCTTGGGTCTCTTCGTGGAGAGGGGCTGGTGGGTGTCGGTGTACGCACCGGAGGCGATGACTGGGGGTGGCTTCACAGGGATGGCCAGCACCGTGTGCAGCTCCAGCTGGGTGCCCGGCGCCGATTCATCCTCCTGCTGCCGCGCTGCAGGACTCCCAGCCTGGTCGCTTGCGGGCACAATCTCCAACACCGTCTTCAGGTGCTCTCTCACAGGGCTCTTTGCCACGGCGACCGGCCGAGCCTCGGAAGCCTGAGTGGCACATATGGGAGGCGCCGTTGACTCTTTATTCCCATCTTCCTTGATCACGGGTAGAGGTTTCCCTGCGCCCTTTGAGCCAATCGAAATGAACTTGTCGAGAGAAGCTGGTTTGTTCAAGGAGGGGGCGACAGGGGCTTTGCGCGGGCTTACCAGAGCCATGGAAAAGTTGGGCCTGATCTTGGCCTGGATGGGGGTGACACAGGGACCCAAGGAGGGTGTCCACTGGGCCACAGGCGTCAACAAGGTCTTCCCCGAGAGCTTAATGGAAATCGTCTTGCCGGACGGCCTGCTGTCTGCGGCCTCCTTGGCGTGGCTGGGCTCTGCCATGGCGCCGCCGTTCTCCTCCTTCCTGTCTCTGCCGGCCCTGATTTGGTCGTCCCCGCTTGGCATCACGCCCTCGGCCTTGTCCCGTGGCGTGGTGCGGTCATTCTCGGCCCTCAGCGAGATCTTTATTGGAGCTTTGGGGCCCCGTTCCACGCCCTCCACGCAGTTTTCGTCCAGCTCGGCAAGCTTGCTCTTTTCCTCCTCCTCCATTTTCATCAGCTTCGCCTTGTTCTCCTCGGAGATTCTCCGTACCGCCTCCATGCGGCACCGCCGCTCGGTTTCCACCATCACTGCCTGGCTGGTCTTCCAGCCCATCATGCGCCGTGGCTCGTACAGCAGGTTGTCCTGCACCATTTTCTGCCAAGGGCAAATGGTGGCACATTATACATAATAAAGATTTTTTGGGGTTAGATCGCGTGAATATACTCACTCACTCCACTCACTCACTCCACTCCCCCCCCCCCCCGCTGCTGGTCCGTCATGGTCCCCACCCGCTCCTGGTCCATCATGGCCCATGCACCTCCTACGTACATCGTGCTCATTTTTATGCTAATTCCTTTGTCAAGCGTTTTGCTTCCTCCCACACAGCTTAAAGGACGCGACCTGGGCTTGGCTGTTTTCACTCCAACACTGTCCTCATGACAGCACGGTCCCTTCACCTGATGAAGGCCACTTGTGTTGTGGCTGAAACGTTGTGATTTTTGTTATTTTATTTTTTACCTACGTGACTCTACCGAATAGAACCAAAGAGTATGAATATAAAGGTGTCGTTAAACCCGCCACAGCCAATTATAAGGTTTGGCACATTGCAGGAGCCTCTTTTCTCCTCCGTTACCCAATGTGTCCCAGACATTCCACACCGAAGCAAATGCTATACTATACGACGCCTTTATTGGCGGCATAGCGATGCAGTCGTAACACTGGGGCCTCACAGCAGGAAGCCCTAGGTTCGATTCCCGACTTGGGCACCTTTCTGTGTAGCGTATGCAAGTTTCTTCAAGTTCTCCAGTTCACTCCATTGTAAAACACACCCATTCACTATGTAACTATGCACTATTACCTGCATATCAGTCAACTGGAAGTACAACAAAGCGACATCAGTGAAAAACCTAGCGGCTTTCCTGGTTGAATCAGCAGAATACAAATTCGGATTGGACACAACAGGGCTTGTGAATGACCGCGAGACGGAGACGCTGCCGCATGGAGCGAGTGGATACCTGGTAGTTGTTGTTGTGCTTCGAAGAGATCACATGCTCCTGGGCAAAAGCTTGGTCCACACAAAACTCTGCGCAGAGCTGGCAGTAATACCCCAAAATGGGCATCATAAACTCTGACCCTGCGCACACGTACATGGGGTTACGCACCATCACAGCACTTCTGCAAGGTACACCGGAACCACGCCAAACCCGCAGAGTGACATGGCTCCTCACGTGCGCCGGAAACAGCTCCGGTTGGGTCACGGCACCGGTGCGGGGGACCGTGTCTAAGCGTGGGCAGGCGAGCCGTGCGGCAGGCGAGTCCCATGCGGCGCAGGCGACCGCAGTGACGGCGTACGGGGTGGTACGGGTGACTCGGGTGATGGTGTTTGGGTGACGCAGGTGAGCGTGTCACAGTGACGGTGACTATGAGATGGTGCCGGTGAGCAAGATGCTAGGCTCACCTTTAGCTTGTTGTGGCATGCTATTCAGCTTAGATGCTCCCTCCTGTTGCTGCAACCATTCCAACTGCTGCTGCTGAAAGACCCACGGGCGATGGTCGGGGTCTAGAGTCTGGAGGGGGGGCGGCAACGGCAGCATCACTCGGCTCACTCGCGGCATCGGCACTGGCGCATCTCACGCTCCCGGGGGCGGGCACGGGAGCCTTGCCGCTCCAAGCAGAGTGACCGCGGGATTTGGCGTCACACCGGCAGCTCTGGGCCCCGCCGGGGTAACCGCAGCCATCGCTGGCACCATCATGGCGCCCTCACGACACGCGCACGCTGCATCCTGCGGTTGTGCTGCGTTGCGTACGGTAACGATGTCAAAACGTTGCAAATCACCGCAATGGAAGTGTGAATGCGTTGTAGACACGCTTGGCCATGAGCGCGACATCCGCGTGGAACATCTGCATTTACAAACTTACAACGCTGTGGAATGTGTGTTTCATGTGAGAATATTGGAACCCTGATGTTCAGAGCCGAATCGGTAACCGCAGACATGGACTGCACGGTGTGAGCAGAGACATCTCACGAAAGTCAGTGAATTCCTGCTGCTGAAATGACCATTGGTGCTCATCTCCTGTTTACAGCCCTGCAGAGCCATTCGTGGAATTTCCACATTCCCACGGTGGGTCAATCTCTCCATAGGACAACCACTAATGTCGTCCCCAGTAATACAAATACGTGCATCTGTACTGCACTGTAATGTGAAGAAATGTCTCAGAACGTGTGGTTTTTTTTCTCCATGGAATCCCTGAAATGGCAACTTGTGCTGCCAGAATGATGAGCCAGCATCAGTCTGCCAGCAGGGGCGATGATTGCCAGGTTATTCTAAGTAGGATTTTTACATTTTGTTTTTCAAATTAGGCAAATTTGTATCCGTACTAAAATAAAGAAATCAAGATTCAAATCAAGATAGAAAGAAGGGACTTACAAACTGAAGATCGCCGATTCGATTCCATCTCTCAGCAGGGCAGTTTAAACAATGAAGGCGAGTGTCTGAAATCCCCCCTATCCTCTCCTGCTGTGACCACTCATCAGCAGGTTTAACGGGAACACCGCAGTCAGTCGATTGGCAGGTCGTGTGTGGCGTGATACAGTATGGGTGCGCCCACCGCTTCCAACACATCTGGTCAACGTGGAAGAACAGACCAAATACCCTCCTCTGGAGCGGCTCCGCAGAGCTCCCTCTAGTGGGGTTCCCTTCCGCCAGCAGAGGCACAAGCGAGCGATTTCAGGGCTGTGCCTTTACCTTTCACCAGCTGCAGAATGTGGAGAGGCACTGGGTGGCGTTTCCGTCAGGTTAAACAACGCCAGCCTGAACCGCGTCCCGCACCCCCTACCTGGCGATGCTTCCTGCTGTGCAGGTGCGGCAGGAACTGCGACAGGGAGCTATAGGTGACGCTGCAGTTCTCGCACCAGTGCTCCCCAGCATCGTAGCACGTGTTGAGGGTGCAAGGCAGGGCCGACATCTCCTGCCACTCCACGGCCGGCTTCTCCTGCTGCTCCACGGCCACGGCCGGCTTCTCCTGCTGCTCCACGACCTCGGCCGGCTTCTCCTGATGCTCCACGGCCACGGCCGATATCTCCTGCCGCTCCACGGCCGGCTTCTGCTGCTGTTCCACGGCTATAGCCGGCTTCTGCTGCTGCTCCACGGCCGGCTTCCGCTGCCGCTCAGCGGCCACCGCCGGCTTCCGCTGCCGCTCCGCGGCCACGGCCGGCTTCCGTTGCCGCTCCCCGGCCACGGCCGTCTTCCGCTGCCGCTCCCCGGCCACGGCCGACATCTCCTGCCGCTCCCCGGCCACGGCCGTCTTCCGCTGCCGCTCCACGGCCGGCTTCTGCTGCCGCTCCAAGACCACGTCTGGCTTCTGCGCTCGATATGCGGCACCCCTGAGCCTCACGCCCTTCTTTGGGAACGTGTTCATCTCGGCCGCCAGCTTCTTCATCTTGTACGCCACCACATCCTGGAGCTGGTTGAGCTCCAGCTGCTGCTGGATATCGTGGTTATCCTTCGCCCTGCTACAGTCCCGCAGCAGCTTGACTGCGAAAAGACAAAGATCCTCTAAGTAGCCCGCACGTGCCATTCCAGGTATCGCCATTGGCGAGCACCCACGAAGGCCAACGTGGTGCTCGATGGGGGGGTTTGGGTACTGCACCCGACCACTGTTATGTCCCCAGTACTGTGGTTTACACACCGCACTAAGTACTCATTTAAGGTTAAGCTAACCTAGGCGAGGCCCAGGGCTGGTTCAGATATTCGTAACTGTTATTGGCCATGAGCAAGAATCGAAGCAGTATTGCTGCATTCGTAGTGCAGCACGCTAACCACTGGGCTATCGTGAACCACACAAAGACAAAGATGTCCCAATACAGCCTTAACAGACTGTTGGGGCAAGTGCTGTTAGCGCGCACCTATGAAGGCCACACATACACACAGCCAAATATACAGGCACACGCGAAGAGGCTATGTGTGTCTTCTAGCAGGGAATAGTTTATATGCAACAGGTGCGATCTAAGTGAGAAAACCAGGAAAACCTAATGTGCCACATGCTGCGGCCTTAACCCCATTAAACAGAAGCCCCGTGTTCCCAGCCCTCGGCCACCGCTTCCCTCGTCCCCCGAGCCCCCACCCTGTACTTTGCCGTTCATTCCCCAGAGCGTGGGGCCAAAGTCAAGTGGAGGCGAGGGGTGACTGGGGTTAGCGTAGTGGTGACACTAGCGCCTCGCAGCAAGAATTTCCCTGGTTCAATTTCCGACTCCGGCACGGTACTGTGTGGCGTTTGTATGTTCTCCACCTGTTCTGCATGGGTTTCCCCCTCGTTCTAGCTAAAAACCAAACAATCTGGTATTGGCCAAACATCCCAATATTACCTGCAATTTGCTGAAAGTAGGATTACGCACGGCAGCAACATTGTCCCCTCCTGCAAAAAGGTGGCAGTGGGCTCTCCTTGGTGAGCAAGCGGAATTGTGATCCCGATGCTGTGGGTACCTTGCTGACTCTGGAGCTTGTTCCACTCTCTCTGCAAGTTATTGAGGTACATCTGCACCTCGTCCTCATTGTCCTGCTGCCCCTTGGTGAGCACCACACACACACAATGCCCGCCGTTTAACATCCACGAGCATTACACGATATGCACAAAAAAAATATCCCAAAACTTGTCAAAATATAAATGTTCTTGTTTTAAACGCAGTTGCTGAGCACAGACCTCAGGCCATCAACAAACAACACAATCAAAGTCGCAATATGAGTGAAACAGGTTTCTTGAATAAGAGCTTGGGAAAAAGAGACGACGATGAAGGGAGGAGTGGAGTAGTGCGAGGGATGAAGCAGAAAGAGAATTGAGGTGACCTGCAGTGTGGTGAGTGTTGTGTTGTGTCTTGCAGTGTGGTGAGTGGTTGTATTGTTCTGCTGTGTGGTGAGTGGGTGAGTGGTTTTTTTTGTGTCTGCTGTGTGGTAAGTGGGTGAGAGGGTGGATAAGTGGGTGAGTGGTTGTCTTGTACAGTCGGAGAAACCCAGATTGCCAACTGGAGTAGCCAGTGTTCGTCGACCATGTACCAACCCATGGTGTGCGGACTGCGGCGTACGGGCCACATGCCAGTCGTGCGTGTCCACTCACTGTAGCCGGGTCAGAGGGTGGGGTGGCGCTGAAGCTGGCCTCCGACACGTGCGCGCCCTTTGGGCCGGGCTTGGCCTTCGTCCTGCAAAACGCCACCGACTTCTCCGCCTTGTTGTCCACCATCTCGATGACGAGCAGGTTGGGCCTTGCCACTGATTTCGGTAGACCAGCGAACACTGGGGACGGTGGGGTGGTTGCCGTCGGGGTCGCCGGAGCGGCCGGGGAGAGCGAACGGGCGGCGAACTCCCGTGCAGGGAGTTGGTACGGGGGCCAGGCCGACGCGGGGCTTTGCTGTCCGTACGGGGCCGGCTGCTGCGCCACATAGTAGTCGTGCTGCTGCCCGTGGCGCTGGTAAGCGCCGTACTCAGGCGTTTTGATTGGTTGGGATGCATGGGGATGCGGGGCACCCTCCACCGCCTCCTCCGCCCGCTTGCGCTTCACGTCCCTCCTCGAGCCCGGGCCACTCGAGTCCAGCGATGGCTCCACGTGGCTCCTGCTCACGCCGGACGAGGGTGGCTGCTTCTTCGCAGCTAGGCCCGACTCGTCCGCTAGGTCCGTTTCTTTCTTGAGGCCGATGGCCTTAAGTATGTTGGCCAGCTTGGCGTAGTCTTCTGGTGGCCGCTGGAGGGGGTCCGTTGTTTCCAGGTCGGGGGCTCGCACGTCCCCCTCGTCGTGTTTGTCGTCTCCGTACAGAAACGTCTCCCGATCCTCAGCATTCCAAAACGCCTGCAGGGAGGAGGCCCCGTGGAAGTCGCCGGGTCCGCGCTCCCCCGTGCCCTCCCTCTCCGCGGCCGCTGCGTCTCGCCATGAAACCTCGTCATCCTTAAACCACGAGCGGTCCTCGTAGAGAGGACGCACACCATCGTGCCATGTCGCACCATCCTTCCACTCCTGAGAAACATAAGGCAACATGATTCACGAGCACACACATGTCAGATTCTCACGAGATCGATAGTGGCCAGGAAACAGCAGTACCAGCAAATGGATTCTTAAGCCATCTGCTCAGACGACCGAGGCTCGATTTCAGCCATGTCTATCCAGGTCGGCAACCCGAAAAGTATTTTTGCACTTGGCAAAACATAATCAGCATAGCTCTCACTGTGGCTACCAGTTGCGCGCCTACTCCAATCTGACAGCAATCAGGAAGACATATTCAGTGAGGGATCAATCCCCGCACACGCTTCTGTACTCGCCGCTGCTCGCTCGCTGCGAGATGTACTCATGGTCACGTGGCTCAGCTCGAGCTTGAGCCAATCAGTTTCCTACGAAGACGAGTTGGGTGAGTGGCTCAGCCACTACTCTTACACAGCTCACGAAATTCCTGAGCGTGGCCAAGACCGCGCTCAGAGCCGGTTCGAGTCAAGCAGCGTGGGCTCTGAGCCAGCTCACTTGAGCCAGAAAAGCCAAGCCCGAACCGAGCCGTGACTGAGAAGGTGGTACACGGGTACCATACGCACCTGCGGGGTGCCCGTGTCGGGCTCCACGCGCCGCTTCAGGATGGATTTCTTGGGGAGCGCGGGCGCCTCCTCAGGGCAGTGCAGCGCGTATCCGCTGTCCGGCGAAACGGCGCGCGGCCGGCTCGCCCCGCTCGCCTCCACCTCCCACGCTGGCAGCCGCTCCTCCTGCGGAAGGTCCTGCTCCTGTTGATCCTTCCACACTCGTGGCGAGTCCAGCTGCCGCTCATTGCAGTCCAGCAGGAAACTCTCCTGCTGCCTGGATTACATCGACAGCGCCCACAACAACAACAGCAGCAGCACGAAGAATGTCCCTACGAGTAACAGACGCGGAGATTGTTACTGCAGGGCGGTGGTGCAGTGAAAACGCTCATGTCCAATAGCAATAAGTCCCTGAGTTCAATTCCCAACTCGGATGCCTTTCTGTGTGGAGTTCATATGTTTTTCTCCTGTTCTGCATGGGTTTCCTCTGGGTTTTCCGGTTTACTCCCGAGTTAAAATAAAATTCATGCAATCTAACTATATTGGCCAAACATCGCAATGATGAACAATTACACCACAATTCACTTTATTGGGAAACACATTGCCATCGTCGCCCCCAATGTGATAACTTGGCAGGGTCCTCATAAAACGAGTCTTGAGAATCAGCAAGGCTGTTCTGAGTAAACAAGCATAACAATACAAATAATAAAACTGAGTGACCACATCTCTTAAATTGAGGAAGGTTATTTTGAAAACTTATTTTGGGAAAAGAGACAAGGAGAGGGAATTCCAAAGAGGAGCAATCCGAGGGAAGAATATGTGAGGTGACCTGCAGTCTGGTGGGTGGGTGAGTGAGTTGTTGTGACCTGCAAGGTGGAGGTTCAACACCATGTGGATGAGACACGACATTCGGCCTGGAAGACCAAGTCCTCAACATGGGTGGAGGAATAAATTAGTAAAGTCCACGGAAACAGTAACCGTGGTAGTCGCGATAGAAGAGTGACAAGGAGGCGACTGACCACTCGTGGGCCTGAGGTCTGGCAGGACTCTTCAGAACTCCCAGGTTCTAAACCTTAAGGATGGACGCACACACACAGACACTGGATAGTGTGAATGTGGACGTGCGTGTACACGCGGTGATGGCTACGCACGCCTCCTGTAATCCAGCACTGTATAGGCGAGCGTTGGTGGATCACAAAAATGCTGTGAACCTCCCTTCGTGGGGCCGTCAAGCAGCCGTACCCTGGCTCGCCAGGAGGCGGAAGATACAAAAAAAAAATCAAACTCCACTTGTTCCATCAGTACGCGTGGGTTACCTCCCACACTTCATATGGGACTGCAGAGCTTGGGCAACTGTTGGAAGTGCCTGCTCACCGATTGGCTGTTGCCTTCCCTCTTGTCTGTGGTTCCTCCTCGCGCCTCTGAGACGTCCTCTCTCTGCACAAGGGCGAGCGAACACCGAGTGACGCGGCGTCTTACAAGCCGAGACGGTTATCATTTTATTCCGGGCGACTGTGGATAAGGGGCACACGGGTGTGGCGGTGGGCGCTCGCGAGTGCGCGAAGGCCCGAGCCTCATGCACACCTGCCCAAGGCCGTGCGCTGCTCGGAGAACCCCAGGCGGGCGTGCACGGGCACCGGCCGATGGGTCCCGACGTTGGTCTGGTAGCGGTCGTTGCCGACCGTGATCCGTAGGCTCCCCTCGATGGCATGATTCCTGTCGTAGTGGTACGGCGAGCGCCTCTGGGAAGCACAGGATGACAAGAGCCGGCACGGACAACACTTGTAGAACATACGCAGGAGACTTACACGCACCTGCTCACAGGGGGGTCAAGTCACCTCCTTGGCACTCTTCTCTCCGTGCCCTTCTTGCAATGACTTGCCATGTTACGGAGCTGTACGTGGGGTACTGTTCGCGTGAACTTTGCTCATCGGTCCACGCTACAGGTCACAGCTCACCCACTCACCGCACTGCAGGTCACCACACTTCTTCGTTGCGTCTGTCATCGCTCTGCTCCTCTATGGAATGCCCTCACATTTGTCTATTTTCCCCAAGCTCTTATAATAATCCTTGCTCAATTCAAGAAATGTGTTGCCTCTCATCCAAGCTCGTGCTGTTTGTTGCTCGCCACTTGATGGTTCGGGCCCTGGACTAAGTGGATATATCCACAGAGTGCGAATGTCAACCACACGACCATCACGCCGGACCCAAAGGCCAACGCGGAACTTTCCGCACCAATTCTTGCTGCGCTCATTTGCCTGCTGTCCATTTTTACATTCACTCGATACGCTGCTGGTGGCAGCCAGGGCAGGGGGCCTTCATCCAGCAGTTGCACTGACCATGGCCGACGGCGATAACTGTACCCTAGTTGGTACACGTTCTAGACTCGTTGTTCCGAGACGCTCGCGTGAAGTCTGGCATGTCCGCAGTCGGCACGCGACATCCAGTCCAGTAGACATTCTCGCCACGACTCTCAGTTACCAGCCACGTGGCCACGAGGCAGAGAAGCGCCAGGCGTCGCCTTGGCGGCTCCTACCCCGGGGGGGGGGGGGCAGCAGTCCCAGCTCTCGCCCCGTGCCGCCACCCCCCCCCCGACACCCACGGGTTCCCGGGCGGCCCGAAGCCCAGGCCGGGGTCGAGGCCCGTAGCCTAGGGCCTCAACTCGGCGCGGCCACTGCACGCAGGTTGGCCCCGTGTCATCCCCGCGGTTTGCCGAGTGCCCGGGGAGGAGCAGAGGCACTGCGGGGGAACCAAGGGGGCAGAGACGGACTCGGGAACCCGAGGGGGTACTCACGGGAAACCAAGAGGGATCTCCAGGGTCACTCACGAAACGAAGGAGAGGAGACCCAAGGTGCGGGTGGTGGTGGTGGTGGTGTGAATCACGGAGTTTGGGAAATGAAGAGGACCCCGTGGGCACTCGTGGAACCGAGAGGGGCCCAGGGCAACTCACGGGACTCGGGGAGCGCGAGTGGCGCCGCCAGCGCTCGTGTCGGTCTCGGTACCGCGGCCTCGACCGCGACACCGAATCCGTGCCGCCGCCGCCGCCTCCTCCTTCTCCTCCTCGCCGCGTGGCCCGCGCCTCATCGCGCGCATCCCCGGGCTCGGGCCGGTAGGGCCGCCCGTGCCTTGCGGGGTTCATGGCGACGTCCGCGGCAGACACAGAAGCAGCAGCGCGAGGTGGGGACCGGGGGGGGGGGAAGCCAGAGGGGGGGGGGGGACCGCGGTCGGCGGAGGCCACGACAACAGGGCGCGGAGCCTGCCACCTTGCGGCGAGCAGTTTGAGAGTTACTGAGGAGTGGTGGCGCAAAGGTTAGCGCGCTCACGGCCACTCCCCCCCCACCACCCTGAGGAAACCGTGGCCGTTTCGCTCGCTAAACTGCCCATGGAGGGAAACAAAACCTCAGGTGGGGAGATGTGATGCCTGGGCTGAAACTCGGGGTTCCCCCAAGTGTGTGCACAGGGTCCAGGTGCTCATGTGGTGTTATAGTAGGGTGCTGAACTACAAAAAAAACCTAACTCTTTACAATGAATTGCATCAATGGCTTTGGCCATGACAACATCGTGATCTTTATACGCCAAATGTTGTATTTATAATGGAACAAAAATCGTACAGAATAAGATAAAGCAATGGTATGAAATACATTATTGTTTATTACTTTTATTTACCTCGGAAAACCTCAGTACTCGAGACTTTTTTCATGAGACCCCTGTATTTGGATGTACGGAAAACTATATTTATGAATGGCACAGGGGAGGGACTACACCAAAAGGAAAAATCCCACAAATAAGAAGGGGGTAACACTCAAAACTTTCCATTGCTGCACTCTGATCTTTTGGCCACCTCGCAGCAGCTCAAACTGACAATACCTGATTCAGTATTCCAAAGCTGTCTTCCATTCCAGTAACAAGCGAGCTCAAATCATGCTTAGATTGAGATCCGGCAAGATCGGATGCATTCAAGGTGGTTTAATCATAGGTAACATGGCAATGCGATACAACATATAAATGTTGAATCAAACCATGAGCCTGAATCGTGACAATTCACACCTCTAGGAAGCAAATCACTACCTGATATTTACAGGCCACATGTTACATCAGGTTTGATCACTTTACAAGTGTCATCAAGAGTACTAAGTTTCTGCAAAAGAATTGACATCAAATCAACACACACTGAATACAAGTTTAATAGCTACTTTAAACGTAACAACGTTTGCATGCAACCAACGGAGACCAAACGGCCTATTCACATTTCATTATTGTACTGCACACAGCAGATGTGTATGGTTCATGAGAAAACACTCAATAAAGCACTCTTATCAGAAGTAAAATATTATTGTGGAAAATGTAGAGATGATTTCTCTGCAACACTGAACTCCATGCTTGACTGCCAGTTTGTGTGATTACAAATCCAAGCCGAGGGTTAATTTCTTCGAAAAAGGGTGAACCCCGTGTCTCTTGCAGGACGGTAGGTACACAAGAAATTTAAATTATATTTACATGAGGCGAAGACAAATACAGGTAAACTACCTCAACATAAAATTATCTGTGTACATTACTTACATTTTTCAATAGCACTGTGGTGTGAACGCACAGCAATAGGCAGCAGAAATGGTATTATACTTACACGTTTGTATTTAACCTGGTGAGAACTCAGGAGACACGGACCGGTGGATTCGCAAAGAAAATGCTTTGGTTGAATCAATGCTGCAGAAATTATGCACTCCCAGAAGAATGTGTGGCTGATGTGATGAGCAATTAGTACTTTAATTCTTTATATGGGGGACAGATATGGAAAGCAGGTGCATTGTCTGCTTATTCATTTGTAAGGGACCGGAATGGAAGGTGAATGGCCAGCCTGCACCGATCAGGGTCTTGTGTTGACATGCAAGGGGTCACCACCTGGTAGCACAGTTTCAGTGTGGTTATTTCAACTGCCCTGGAGCCCGAGTACAGAAAATAATTGTAAAATATGGCAGGCAAAAATTGTAGCAAGATCTGAAATGCCGTAAGAGGAAACGCATACAACTCGATGCAATGTCGGTATCCGAGGGAGACCGCACGCACATCTGTGGGCGTGACAGCGGTTGCTTGGTATTGTCTTCACTATCACTGCACCAGTAAATAAGCTGCCAGCACAACAACCTCAATGTTGATTATATTCGTTTATTAATGTATTTTATATTATTAGTGTAATTAGGTCATTATGTTAATTGACTGCTGGTTATCAGTTGACAATCGATTTACAAGTGGTCCTGACCCACCCCTCCGAAGGGGCCGTCCATAAATGACGTCACGCGATTTTGGACGTCACAAAGCTCTGCCCCCCCCCCCCCAAAAAAAAAAAATCAAACATGCTTCAAACCGCTTTGAACTATTGTCATTGTAGTGCGTATTTAATGTGGCGCTGCACTCCGATGTTGTAGGAGAAAACATTTATTAAAAAGCCTATTTAATTAAGTAGAACGTGTTGTCTATATTTATTTAAAGTTGCGCGTTTTTATGAGGTCATATTTCTCAAACCCCCCCCCCCCCCGGTGCGTGACGTCATTTATGGACGGCCCCTAATTTCTCTGCTAAGGTTACTACACGTATTTGTTTACACCCCTTATAGATTTGGAGTTATGACAAGTGTTGGTTTGCGACAATTCTAGAAATGTCTACGTCGTTCCTCGCTCAGGAGCTTGTATTTTACAACACTCCACACCACAGTGTTGTTTTTTTTCTGTTGCTTCCACCTTAGTCCAGCAGAGTCCATTTTATAAATACCACGCACATGGCTTTGCGACTGGCATCGCACCGCAGGCGCCCTTCTTGTCCAGGATAGCACGTCGCCGCTTTGTCCCACATTCCAGCACCCACGGAGGTTGTGTGTTGTCCTGGATATGGGTGACATCATTGGCAAAAAACGTTACGGAATTTAAATAGATGGTGATGAGGGTTCTCACACTCTGCGTGGCACACACAAGCAGACAGAATGCCAACATGTACACCAACCACAGCCCAAACAGCACACTTCACAAAAATCGAGTTTAACACTAAATGATGTTCAGCATTGTTGTGGATATCAGTAACAAAATGAAAAAGCAAACAATTCGCCTACTTCCCATATATATTCCTCCACAAATGTTTTTAAAGTATTTTGTACACACCCCGCACCTCTGATTATGCATGGTTGGTTACGTACAGTGCGAAAGACGTTCAACATACATCCCATCAGCCACATCACCTTCTGAAGTGCAACATTTTTTCAGCACTGGTTCAACGCAAGCAAACTCTGGACTCGGTTCACCATTCATTGTCTCATCAGCAGAGTCAGGTTTGCTTAAGTCACTGCTGGTGAACTTCCAGAAGCTTATTGTCATAGACCCTCTCTGTTGGATATGGATCCTCGTTTGATTAAAAAAACGATATCACATCGCTCAAAAGGTTTACAGTGATGATGATCCCACCTTCGATAACGTTTCAGCATCTACTGCCTGTAGAACACTTCATTTAACGTCTGTACTGACATTAAAGTTGTCATACATACATTATAAAGACAAGTACAGGTTCAATCTTGATTTAAAGCTTTCGTGACTGCAGGAATTAATATTCTTTGGGTCTTTCGGTAAAGTCACGTAGATAGGTTCAAAGAAAATAACCAAAAACTACGTTTCGATCGCAACACAAGCGGTCGTCTTCAGGAAAAGACGACCACTTGTGTTGCGATTGAAACGTCGTAGTTTTGTTATTTTCTTTGAACCGATCCACGTGACTTTACCGAAAGACCCAAAGAATACAAGTACAGGTGATTAAAATGTTGCATGTGGGATAATATTGTACAATATATTTTAAAGCCCCCAGTCAATGTTGGTTCAATGACGTCACTCCTTCTGCTCTGCGGCCCCCACTGTCTGTAAATCCCTTCCCCAGCCTTCTGTACTGCCAACTTCCTCTCTTTAAATACCGGCTAAAAATCTCCCACTGCTTTTGACTATCCCTGCGATACACATCGTCCTGCTTTGTACAGCTTATTGAACAGCAGTTGCATTTAGACGCAATATACTGGGCATATAAACTGCATTTATTTATTAAATGTATCAGATATTTACACTTTACCGTGTGTTCATATGTATGCATGGGATGTCCCTATTAAATGGCCTGGAGGTATGGTGTTGTACTGTGCAGCTCACAATTGTAAGACTGTGATTTAAAATGCGGTTCACCTCGCCCTTTGTGATCCCGCAAACAATATCGACAGATAACACCCCCCCCCCATGTGGAATTTCCTTCACCTACTCAAGGTCTTGAGTGTGGACCCACTGAGACGATTTTTTGTTTTAAATTTCAGTTGGCAGACCCCTCGAGTGGAACGTCTTGTTTGTAAGCATGTCCAGGGTGTCAGTTTGTACACACAGCACACGTAATAACACACGTACACATATTTAAACCTGAAGCTTACATAGCCTACGTTTAAACACCAGTCAGACACATCAATAATTGAACGGTGCACACCACCTGAATTATATGGACTGTGCTCTACCTGTAACAATCGTGTTGCGTGATGTGTAATACATATTTAAATTAGCAGAGACTGACAGTATAGTTTCGCGAGTCTGGGTGATTGTTCCATACTGAAGCAGCTCTGCGTTTGTCACGCTGCAGCATGTAACAGGGTGAAAGAGGTACAAATTATCGCATGCGATTCACCAGTGTGTTGCGTCTGTGACCTCGTGAGCCTTAACATCATGCAATGCCTGCCTTTGCCGAGTATCGCTCTACTCCTGTGGCCGTGCGGTGGCCGTGCGGTGGCCGAGTGGGGCAGGCACCACCCTCGCCGTGCTCTGTGAAGAGATCCAGCAGGTTCATGGTGCAGGGGGATGCTGAAGAGGAAGAAGGGGATGCTGACGAGGAAGAAGAGGAAGACGAAGCGTCCAGGTGCATCACGCTCAGCTTCTTGGTGCAGAGCACGCAGCGCCGTTCCACTCCGGGAGGAGGCTGGGGGCCCAGCAGTGCCACTGGCTGCCCATTTCCCCTGCGCCAGCTGCGCTCGGCTCCGCTGTGATGGGCCAAGCGCTCACGCTGCCAGATGTTGTGGTTCGGCGCAATTGCCATGACCTGCCGTGATGCCCACGTGCTTTACCAAGATGTGGTGGTACTCTGAAGCCACACGCGGCCCTCCAAAATTAGTACAGCAAATTCTCCACATATCAGATGTATGTTCGCTAATTGCGTTTGCAGAGGTTTGCGGTATGAATCCAGCAGGTTACCCTGGTTAATACTGCAGTGTGGATTAACCATAAAATGCGTGACGTATGCTTCACAGTAGACCTTAAATATCCCATTACTTCATTTTAAGAATATACCAACGTGTGTTCACGTCATGGTCCAATTTAGAAAAATTACACAGCAATTTAATTGGGAAATGCATAACAATCTTTGCTCAGACTGCAAAAACTTGGCAGAACTCTCCTCATGAAGTCTTGAGATTCCGTCAGGCTTTCCTGATTAAACAAGCATAATAATTAATAATAAACCCAAACGATCACACCTCTACACACTCACTACCCACTTCAGCTCATCGTAGACACATTCCACACCACCTCCTCCTCCTGTCCACACCTCTTTGCAGCAGCGCCAGCTTACGGCAGCACGATAGTCCATGCGTGCCCAAAGCTCCTCGCGCCACTTGAGGAATTCTGGGAAAGACTTCCTCCAGCCGTGGCCCAGTGCCCAGGGGAAGATCTCATACTTGGACTCCTCCTCATCCTCTTCCATGTCATTGGCCAGATACCTGCACAGACGCGCAATGCTTTAGTTTGTCTGCCAGTCACTCAAAATATTTTAAACTATTCTCTTTCCTATATTCTTTCAAATATAGACACAATTTCGATTTAAAGCTTTCGTGACTGCAGGGATTCATCTTCTTGGTTCTTTCGGTAAAGTCACATAGAAGGGAAATAATAAAATAAAAACAATAAAATAAAATTCTCACGACGTTTCGGCCACAACATAAGCAGCCGTCCTCAGGTGAAGAAACATAACTGTCGCAAAGACAGCGCTCCAATCCAATGGAGCGCTGTCTGAATCCATTGGAGCGCTGTCTTTCCGACAGTTATGTTTCTTCACATGAGGACGGCTGCTTGTGTTGTGGCCGAAACGTCGTGAGAATTTTATTTTATTATGTTTTATTTTTATTATTTTATTATTTCCTTTCTACGTGACTTTACCGAAAGAACCAAGAAGATAGACACAATTGTCTATTGTAATTCTCTATGTAGATATACAATCGTGGGTATTTAATGTAATGGATGTGTGTATGCATGTGTTTATGCAACGGAAATCAACGTGTTGTGCTTGGTGGTTACTTGGTTCCTCAGCGTTTAGTTAAATGACGTTAAGTAACAGTGTGACGAGACAGCATCGGACGCATTTACTCACAGAGCCAAGAAGAAATTTGTGCGACTGTATTCGGAAGTCTTGAAGCCAGCCCTCTTGAAGTAGGAGAACACCATGGCGAGCAGGTACTGAGACGAGCAATAACACGAATGCGTTTACAAGTCATTCAGGATAAATCAGCATAATGTACACGTTGCGCTCTCTTATCTGTGAATGTGAATTCCTCCACTTCAAATGTGTCCCTGGTTACCCTCCTATCTGAATCACAATGTGATGCAAAGCTATCAATGCTAAATTTTGACTTAAAACTTTCATGACTGCAGGAATTTATATTCTATGGTTCTTTCGGTAGAGTCACTATAGATAGAAAATAAAATAAAAATCATAAAAATAATGAAAGTATTAAAAAAATATTTAAAAATTAAAAACCCACGACGTTTCGATCGCAACACAAGCGGTCATTAGGCGGAGAGACGACAGCTTGTGTTGCGATCGAAACGTTTTTTGTTTTTAAATTTTTGTATATTTTTATTTTATTTTCTATCTACGTGACTTTACCGAAAGCTATAAATGCTGTTTTACTCTCTTCTTGCACGTGGGAATGTGTTCAGGAGCTCAATACAATGTCAAGGTCTGTTAGCCACGACGTGAGGGCCTCAGGAGGGTGAGAGACCATAGCCACCTCGTTGAGTTTAACCTGTTACACGTTTTCATGTTATGTTAAACACAACTACAGTAGATAATCAATTATGCAGTGCCTTCAGGGGGAGGGGCGCCGGCTTTTCAAAAATGCTGGTTAATCACATCATTATTTAAAAGTAATTCAAAAAGCCTGTCTTAGCCAGGAAAAAGTTTTCAATAAAAATCATGAACCTAATGATTTTTTTTTTCATTTTTATCTACGACAAAACAGTCAACACCCTACCTAGTAAACTTAGAAATATAATGCAATACAACACAGAGTCGGCTAGTGTTGACTGTTATGTTAGCCGACTCTCTGTGTTGTATTGCATATTTCTAAGTTAACTAGGTTTTTTTCTCATTCATTCGTACCTGATGATGATTGCTTGTGTTGCAATCGAAACGTCGTATTATATTATTTAATTTATTTTCTTTCTACGTGACTTTACCGAAAGAACCAAAAAGTAATTCCTGCAGTCACGAAAGCTCCAAATCATGTTATTGGGCCTTGAAGTGAAAAATATCGGATTTTCAGAAATTTTCCTGTTGTGTCCTAAAAGCTACATATGTACACAATGTCAGCTTTCTACCTTGTCGGGAAGTACCCTCGAGGTTTTTGAGACATACAAATTCTGGTTTTTATTTATACAGAAGATAGCTTATTTTTGCACATTCTTGTTGAACATTTTTGTTGAACGTCATGTTTTTTTCCGTTTAAAATGTATTCATGATATGAAGTTATCATGAACATACAAATAGACAAAAATAAATATCCTACTCTAAAAAGTTACTGTATTTAATATACAGTACTTACCACTGCAATATCGAAGACACTGCATGGGGTGATGTACAGTGAGGGAAAAAAGTATTTGATCCCCTGCTGATTTTGTACGTTTGCCCACTGACAAAGAAATTATCAGTCTATAATTTTAATGGTAGGTTTATAGTGAGAGACAGAATAACAACAAAAAAATCCAGAAAAATGCATGTCAAAAATGTTATAAATTGATTTGCATTTTAATGAGGGAAATAAGTATTTGACCCCTCTGCAAAACATGACTTAGTACTTGGTGGCAAAAGCCTTGTTGGCAATCACAGAGGTCAGACGTTTCTTGTAGTTGGCCACCAGGTTTTCACACATCTCAGGAGAGATTTTGTCCCACTCCTCTTTGCAGATCTTCTCCAAGTCATTAAGGTTTCGAGGCTGACGTTTGGCAACTCGAACCTTCAGCTCCCTCCACAGATTTTCTATGAGATTAAGGTCTGGAGTCTGGCTAGGCCACTCCAGGACCTTAATGTGCTTCTTCTTGAGCCACTCCTTTGTTGCCTTGGCCGTGTGTTTTGGGTCATTGTCATGTTGGAATACCCATCCACGACCCATGTTCAATGCCCTGGCTGAGGGAAGGAGGTTCTCACCCAAGATTTGACGGTACATGGCCCCGTCCATCGTCCCTTTGATGCGGTGAAGTTGTCCTGTCCCCTTAGCAGAAAAACACCCCCAAAGCATAATGTTTCCACCTCCATGTTTGACGGTGGGGATGGTGTTCTTGGGGTCATAGGCAGCATTCCTCCTCCAAACACGGCGAGTTGAGTTGATGCCAAAGAGCTCCATTTTGGTCTCATCTGACCACAACACTTTCACCCAGTTGTCTTCTGAATCAGATGTTCATTGGCAAACTACAGACGGGCATATATATATGCTTTCTTGAGCAGGGGGACCTTGCGGGCGCTGCAGGATTTCAGTCCTTCACGGCGTAGTGTGTTACCAATTGTTTTCTTGGTGACTATGGTCCCAGCTGCCTTGAGATCATTGACAAGATCCTCCCGTGTAGTTCTGGGCTGATTCCTCACCGTTCTCATGATCATTGCAACTCCACGAGGTGAGATCTTGAATGGAGCCCCAGGCCGAGGGAGATTGACAGTTCTTTGTGTTTCTTCCATTTGCGAATAATCGCACCAACTGTTGTCACCTTCTCACCAAGCTGGTTGGCAATGGTCTTGTAGCCCATTCCAGCCTTGTGTAGGTCTACAATCCTGTCCCTGACATCCTTGGAGAGCTCTTTGGTCTTGACCATGGTGAAGAGTTTGGAATCTAATTGATTGCTTCTGTGGACAGGTGTCTTTTATACAGGTAACAAGCTGAGATTAGCACTCCCTTTAAGAGTGTGCTCCTAATCTCAACTCGTTACCTGTATAAAAGACACCTGGGAGTCAGAAATCTTTCTGATTGAGAGGGGGTCAAATACTTATTTCCCTCATTAAAATGCAAATCAATTTATAACATTTTGACATGCGTTTTTCTGGATTGTTGTTATTCTGTATCTCACTGTTCAAATAAACCTACCAGTAAAATTATAGACTGATAATTTCTTTGTCAGTGGGCAAACGTACAAAATCAGCAGGGGATCAAATACTTTTTTTCCCTCACTGTACGTACTATACTCGCTTCAACGATCGCCGGACTGATTGTGTCGTGTATAATACTGTATATATTTGACACTGAAATAAACATTAATCTAAACACATCAGATGTTCACCCAACTTGCTGAGAATGCATTGACCTAGGTTCTGTGGTTACAGATCGAAATACAGCAAATTCACTTACCTTGTCCGATAGTCTAAAGCAACTGTCCATCCATAAAAAGTCCTGTATCAGATCATCGTCTATAAAGGCAGAACACAAGGATCATGTCGTTGCAGCATCCTCATTTGGACACGGTCTGGGTGTTGCAAATCATGCACCACGAGGTTTGGTCATGTTACGCACGCATTTTCCTGACCCCATTTAACCCAAGCGCAGTTTTGCGACTTGGGCTCCGTGTGAGAATTGAGGGCGTGCTCATCTCCTGTTTACGAGTCTCTCAATTGAACAATCTGTGGACTTCCCCGCAAAGAAAGTACTAATTGTATCAACCCCAGAGGAATGATGGGCTAAGTCAACCCCCCCTCCCCCATCAGAATTTTTACTTGCAACCTTCTGATTGGGATCCGCTCGCTCTACTGAGCCACCTTGTCAGATATGCAAGCAACTCTACTTGCATGCTCCTCCAAGATCGGAAACTCTTCAGGAGTCGAAGCTCTTGGAGTGTGCTTGAAAAAATACATTCTCAACACATGGCCCAGCTCTGAAAACCAGCCTCGCAGCTCGAGATGACATAATTCCCTACCAAACAGACGGAAGAAGGCTGCCATTTCCCCGCGCTGTATTATGAGGCTGGGGCTCGCGCCGCGATTGTTCACATGGCTTTTTCCACCGTCCTGGCGCGGACGCCTGCGAGATTGCATCGCCATGGGGAAGTACTGGCGGACGTGGCTCCGCTTGCTGCTCACTCGAGAGTCATGGAGGACTCCATGCTCCATGTCACAGTGCCTCATGACCCCAGCCAACAATACCTGTCAAAACACGATCGCACACCTCACCACACACTCTCGCCAGACACATACCACACACAACACTCATCACATACACACAGATGTAAAGCAAATCACAGGCAGAGTCCAGTTCAGATGCCCTCACCTGGCTATATTCTCACCTGGCTCTATCGGTACCTGACTATTCTCGACTGGCTCTGCTCATATTTGTAGTCCCATAAAATATAAAATAAAAAGTTTTGCTTCTATTAATTTACTACTTACCTTTTTTCAGTGAAGTCAAAGTTAAATATGGAGTCTCACTAACCTCAAAGATTGCACAGAAGCGGTGCACGTGTAATTTGCACGAAATGGAATATTGCTTAATCCAGAAAAATCGAAGGTGCTGCTGGTTAGCACACAAGTTCTGGGGAAAAAATTGTGGGAGGATCAGGTGTGGCGGTCGCAGACTCCAAGATTCAGTTTTCTCCTCATCTAAAGACCCTCGGCTCCATAATCCACCAGAATGTCGTTTGATCATCACGTGCAACATAGTCAGGTCCTACAATTTTTACATCAGGGTTGTACGGCACATTTTACCACTAGAGTCGTGTAGTATAATATCGACAAGGCTTGATTCTTGCAACTCACGACTCTTCGGGACATCGGGCAAATACATTACCAAGCTGCAGCATGTGCATAATTCTCTGGAACATGTTGTGAGAGGTACTCGAAGATCCGACCATGTCCGTCCAGTGCTCGCCAAGCTGCATTGGCTTCTGGTTGCCGAACGAATATATTATAAACTCCCTCTCATTACACAAAGTGCTTGCCACAAATGAACCACAATACCTTGCTGATCTCGTTAAGGAGCATAAACCATCACTCAAACGCCAGCCATCCTCGCAGTGGCTTTGGTCTAGTCATCAAACAAAGACGGTCACTGCATCGTGCGCTTTCAGATACGCTTTTGCGGCTGTCTGTAACACTCTTCCTTCTGATATTAGGAGGCCACTGAAGCTAAGCACTTTTACATCTAGATTGAAAACTAATTTCTTGAGAACTATTTTTGTGTGTAGGTTGTTGTCCTTCCTGCGCACCTCCGATTAGCAATTGGCTGTGTACGGTGCAAAAGAAGTTCAACAAACACTTATGCTATTCATTGTGCACGGTTGGAATTTACTTTGCTTCGTCTGTGCTGTTAGCCGCTGATGTTGTGACGGTTTTTTTCCATTCCTGTTGCTCTATACCCCTGTACCGTTCCCATTATGCTGCAATATGCAGATTGATTGGTCTCATCTGGCTCCACACTCACCTGACTGCCGTTCCTGGGCTCTATCCTCACCTGCAACCTCTGGCTCTGGTGATCTATGTAGGCTATACATGACTCACAAGCTCATTCAAGACAGAATTACTCGATATTCACCTCGGTGAGGTCAAAACGGTGCGGCCCTGCAATTGCATGCCTGCGACACTGCTGGCTTAAGAGCCTCCACAAGAGGGATCTCTCGGCAAAATTTGCTATACTCTTCAACGCACGGAAAATGTATCGGAAGAGGTGGAGTACCCACACCGCAATTCTTCCACCAAATATCCGTAGAGACATGAAAACTCCATCAACCACCTAGCCCATCAACCGAGACCTCAACAACGTTCCTCGACTCAAGTCCCGATCCCCATTCTGGGACCGCACTGAAGTCGCCATCCTAGAATCTAACCCAGAATAACTCTGTGATGAACAGAGTGGAACAACGCGTACGTCCAGAATAAACCCCTCGTTCGAGAGACCCAAACATTACACCTGCTGGCTTTTGACTTTCCTCCTCAAAGACACTGGCGCTACATAAAACCGCATCAGAACTTCAACAGGCTGATGAGCACATCTCCGACATGAATGGAAAATTAAATACGCAAGTCACGGCAAGTGTGACCAGCCATGCCAACCAAACTATGGATCATACAGCAAAAACACTGTAGAGTCTGCGCTCCTTCATTGGGGCAGCAAAACGACACCAACTCTCGTGAAGCCCTCTTCGTCGTGGCCAGAAGACCTCGACATTGGCGCTTAACTCAAGAACATATTGCCGCCACGCTCACCATCACGCCACGAAATCGTCAATCTCCTCTGCTTGTTAAGCCGGATTAATGAACAATAGTGGTCAACTCGGTTTTTCCCCTCAACTTTACACAGCTGTTATCGGTCACTATATTCTTGGTTCTTTACCGAAATAATCAAGAATATGAATGACTGCAGTCACGAACGTTTTAAGTCAAAATTGTTATCGTCAATGTTTGCTGGATGGGGGAGGCTCTGTCATTACGCCGTCGGTCTCAGTGTCGCTTGTTTGTGGGTTCCTTGGAACCGCGAAGTCGCCGTTGTGGTTTAAGGTTCCATATTCTTTGGTTCTATTCGGTAAAGTCACGTAGGCTTCAAATCTAGAATTGATTTAAGGTTGTTGTGTTTATTTGGCTGCATCAAATGTCCACGTAAAAGCCACTTCGTTGAGCCGTCACTTGTGGCGAGGACCCTTCTGAAAAAAGCTAAATAGCTCGGTGTTGCTTTAACCTGGTGAAATAAAAAAGTTTAGTCTTATTTATATATTGTTTTAGTGATTTGCCTACCTTTTCTATATTTTGCACTCTGATCGTGTTGCTGCATTGTTTGTTTAGAACCAGAATATTTATACCGCGGGAATCCAATGAGCTAGAAAAGCTCCTTTTTTACATGTCCAGTAACGTTCTGACCCGCCCATACTGGTCATCTGTGAAAGAGCTTTATAGCTCATCGGATTCCTCCAGGATAAATAAATATTCCTATTCTGAACATTTACCTCAGCGCCGCCGGTGCCTCGCTGCTCGCTTGCCGCCTGCTCCGCGCCTAACAGACACGCCCCAAACAACGCCCCCTAGTTACGAGTCACGCCCTCAGCGACGCCCCCTAGCTACGAGCCATGACCCTAACGCCCCCCTGAATATAACGCCCCCATGGTTACGAGCCACGCCCCTAACAACGCCCCCTAGTAACGGATCACGCTCGCAGCAACCCCCCTCGTTACGAGCCACGCCCCTTAGCAACGCAACCGACTTTGGTCACAAGCCACGCCCCTGATCACGTCCCTTTAGGCACAAGCCGTGGCCCTATTACGGCCTCCTAAAGTGGGCCACACCCCTCTACGCACGAACTACGCCCCTCCGAGTAACCCCCCCCCCCCCTGAGTCCCGCCCCTCGGCTGGACCAAGCGAGGTGACGATACGCCCAACCCGCCCCAGACCCAAGCCCCTTTCCCCAATTCAAACCCCCCTTAGCCTGGTGCCAACTTCGGTACCCACGCGGGCAACTCGTGCACACGTGCAGCACGAATGGAAGACCACGCGTCGTACAGCGCATTTTCGCGATGGCACGAGTACAGTACGCACTGTTCATACAGCACGTGTGCAGTCTGTAACAGAGTTGGAACACGCGCGCGCCCACGGGGCAGAACCCAAAACAAAACCCGAGCCCGACCCGGAACAGCGCGGAGCACATGGAGGCCGCGGCGCAGTGACAGCTTAAAGATGAAAAGCAAAAACATAACGTTCCTCACAGCGACACACGCGGGAGAATTTGCACCATGTTCACAAACGTCTCTCACAAGATATGGCCCAAATCACCCCATCTCGCAACTCCAAATCCAAGCAGAGTTGCCCTGCATAGTACTTGGATAAGTGAGCATCGTGCAAGCACGTTGTCACAGGGCTACGTAGTTGGCAATGAAGGGTAGTGTGGCAACATCCTATGTTTGACTACGACTATGTTCTCCCTCTTCAACCCACACAATTAGCGTGAAGTATGGTCGTATTCACCCACAACTCACACGCATGCAGAGGCCCTCATTCTGGTGTTTGCGAGCCAGACCCTGCTGCGAGCGAGCCGGACCTCGTGAGTGAGCCAGGGTCGTGCGAGATGCGGGTCGTGCGCAACCTGAGCGTTTATTATGAGTTATTTGTAATGTTGTCATGATTGGTGTTGTTATAACAGCATTGTTTAAACACAATGGCTAGATTGTGAAAACAGTCCGATAATACTTAGTGCCAGGCGCATTTCAGCTTTTAGCTTGAAAATGTCGATAAAAAATTTAGAGTTTGACAATTTGCACCAAAAGAGTGCGGCCTCTGGCTCCGGGATAAACGCGGACACAACAGGGGCACTTCCTGCTGTCCCAATTCTTCAAAGGCATTCACCTGAAAATATAAATGACTAAAATTGTTATTACCTTAAATTTACGCAGGACAACTAATAAGAGCCTCTATTTGCCAATGTTTAAATAAAGATAACCAGGGTGCTCAAACATGTTCTAAGTTGGCGTTTTTTTTACTTTTAAATCAATAAAAAGGGATATACAACATAGTACAGCTTACAGGTTAGTCATTAACTGAAAAAATATGTACATGTGAAAAAGCAGTACACTGGAGTTAGCACAGCCCGCGAGGGTCTCCACTTCAACTAACCGCACCGGCTACCTTTGATATCAACACAACCATGACAGGAACGATGCGGTACTCTTACATTGCGGAAACATTCCTGATTTCAGTCTTTGGAGGAAGTTGGGTGCGAAAGGAATTTCCTTTTTCATTTCAGTTTCTGGGGGCTGCGCGCTGCCAGACGGAGGTGGCGGGAGACGGAGACAGCCTCTCTCTCGGCACAGCGTCCACGCGCCTCATTTCTTCCTGGCCTTGGTGTGCGTGAGGATGTGCGACTTGAGGTTGGTGGACTGGGCAAACTTCTTATTGCAGCTGTCGTACGGACACACGTACGGCCGGTCTCCCGTGTGGATTCGGATGTGCGTGCGCAGGTTGAAATCCAGCGAGAAGCGCTTCCCGCAACCTTCGAACGTGCACTGGGAAGACACACGTAGCGCCACCACCGCCGCCCGCTGCACGGCCAACCCAGCACACGAGGCGCGACGCCGCGAAGGCCCTGCCGCTCGCAAAGTGGCGGCGGTGGCGCCGGTGCGTGGTGCTCACCTGGAAGGGCCGCTCTCCGGTGTGCACCAGCTGGTGCCGCTTGAGTTTGGAGCTCTCGACGAAGGCCTTGCCGCACTCGGCGCACACGTGTACACGCGGCCCGTGGGTGTGCAGGTGTTTCCTCATTGCAGAGTTGTCGCGGAACATCTTGGTGCAACCCTGGGCAGAAACATCGACACCCCCCACCCCCCCACCGAGTTCATCTCGCCATGACACACGAAGTCGTGAGCACAGCCAGAAAACCAGCAAGTACACGGATCTCTGTACGAGTCTGTGGATTTCTATGCGAGCTTATGGACCCACAGATGCAAAATCGCACGTACATAGTCAGAGCCATGAATCTCTTCCCCGCAGATGGGGGTCAAGTTGCTCCCATCGTCGCATGCAGCACACATACACTCGCGCGTTTCAGGACAAAGCCCGAGTGAGCTGGAGGCTCTACCTTGTGAGGACAAGCGATTGTTTTTGACGAATCCACTTCGACGTCGGCTACTTTGAGAGGCTTCATTCTGAAAACAGAGATCACAGGCTTTGGATTATTTTCAAAAACTTCACTCAGGAATATACAAGACAAAGTATTATCAATTATATTGACAATCGTTTACCCATGAATGGCTCACCTAGTCTCAAGAATCCCTTTCCGGAGGGTCCTGCCAAGTTTTCGTAGTCGGCAGTGACGATTGCTACATGTTAAGAAAAGCGTGATGTCATTTTTCACATTTGAACTCTGACGCTGGTACACAATGACCTACTCGTTTTCGAATGACGTCACGTGACCTTCAATGTCTGCGGTAAAGAATCGTATTTTTTGGTTAATATACACCAGTTTTAACCACGGTGGCCTACCATATACAAACCGTGAACCTGGTAATGGTTAGGTTCGGGTTAAGTTAAGGTAATGTTGAGGGTAAGGGTTAGGTTAGGGTTCAGTTAGGTTAAGGTAAAGGGTGTTGCGGTGGTGAGATGTTAACTGCCTCGCCTGATATACAGGAGGTCGTGGGTTCAACCCCAACCCTGACACCTGTATATTTGCATGTTCTCCCCGTGATCACGTGGATTTTTTTCTGGGTTTCAGATTTCCCCCCCCCCCCCCCACATTTATAAACATGCATTTAGATAATTTGGCAGCTATAAATGTTCACACGATAAGCCACTTTATGAATCTATCATTTGTGGCCAGCTCGCTTCTGAAAAGAGCTATGTAGATCAGAGGGCCTTGCCTGCTGAAATAATACATAGTTTAATAACAGCAATGGTTACGTTAAGGTAATTGTTTCTAGTAGTGGTTAGGTTAGGGTTACATCACAATAATAGTTAGGTTATGGATAAGTTAATGGTAAGTTAAGGTCAAGATTATGGTAATGGTTAGTCTTAGGTTTAGGTTCGAGTGACATTAGAAGGATAGTGTAAGGGTGAGGATGAGTTGTATGTATATATGTTGAACGTCTTTCACACCGTACGTAGCCAACCGTTCTAATCGGAGGTGAGAGTTATGCTAAGGTGCGGGGTGAAGTTAGAGTGGTTATGATGAGTTTTTGATGAAGGGCGAGTTGAGGGTTAGGCTGGGGGTAAGTTTATGGTAACGTTTGGGTGTGTTTTCGGTGAAGTTTGGGTGTGTATTGGGTGAAGTTTTTGGCAGGTTTGTGGTAACTTCAGTTTGAGTTTAAGGTGAGTTTACAGTGAGTTCAGCCTTCGGATGGGGTAAGTTTACGCAGAGTTTCGGGTGCATTTGGGCTGAATTAGAAGTAGAGTTGTCGTGAGATTGTGGCGAGATTGGGGTATGCTGATGGTGATATTAGGTAACTTTACGGTAAAGTTGTGATGAATTATGGGTTTTGTTTGTTTGAATTGAAGGTGAAGTTTTGATGAGTTTGAGTTAAGTTTGTGGTGAGTTTGGGGTAAATTGATGGTGAGCTTAGGATTGAGTTTATTATCAGTTTGGGTTGTTTTTAGCGAGGTTGATGATACGATTGCATCCATTTTGGGATGAATTCAAGGTGACACTATAGTTAGTGATGAATGAGTTTTGCTGTGAGCTTTGTGGCCAGTTTGTGATGAGTTTGCATGAGTTTTGCTTAAGTTAACTGCAAGTTTGTGGCAATTTATGGCGAGTTTAGAATAAATTAGAAATCAGTTTGTGGTGAGACTGTGGCCAGTTTTGTGATGAGTTATGATGGGATTAGAGTTATTGGTGAGTTTATGGTGGGATTAAGAGTGGCGAGTTATTAGTGGTGAACTCGCCTCGCAAACTCCGCCAGCTGTTTGGGGTCGGCGAGGTCGATGCCGGGAATCCCGGGTGCCGACCCCTTGCGCTGCTGCGTGAAGTGATGATGCACCTCGTCCACCTCGTCAAGCACCACGGAGCTCTGCGGGATCACCTCCTCCACCAGTGACATCTCCTCCATCTCTGACATCTTATCTTCTGCACACGGGACACGGGGATAGCCTCAAGCCTCGAACCATGACACAGGGAGACTGACGGAGAGAAACAGAGAGGAACGGGGAAAGGCTACAAACATGAGCGAGGGAGATACAGACGCAAATACATACAGAGACAGAGGAGACTGGCGGAAAGAGAGAGTGACAGAGACGGGGGGAGCCCACAGCTATGATGAACCTGGGAGAAAAGCGAAAACACAGACACACAGAGACATAGGTATACAGACACACAGACGTGCAGAGTGATTCACAGAGTGAGAGTGGTGCACAGAGAGGCCACATGTGCAGCAGTTACCCGAGGCCCACACGGTGACGGAGAAGTCCCCCTCCGAGGTCTTGATCTGCACCTGCTTGTGGTCCCACTTGGCCGCGCACTTGGCCTCGGCCTCTAGGAGGCCCCCCGCGCCGCGCTTGGCGCCCCCGGCGGGCGATGCCGACGCCGAGATCTTGGTGCCGCGTTTGTGGGCCCCGCTGCGCTTGAAGGCCTTGTGCTGCTCGGTCAGGGGCTCCTCACCCAGGCCGTCGTGGCCCGCGGGCACGGGGATGAGGATGTGGTCGAGGCTCACGGCGTGCAGCTCCTCGCCCACCACCTCTTCGTGCGTCTGCACGAGGATCACCTCCTGGTGGCGGACGTCGTCGTCGGCGCCCGAGCCCAGGGGCTCCAGGCCCAGAGACTCTTCGTCGTCGTCGCCCAGGGAGCCGTCGATGGGGATGGTGACCACCTCGATCTCCTGCAGCTCAACGATCTCAGCCGGGATCTCCACGCCGTCCGCCGTGATGCAGATCGTCTCGCTTGATGTCATGGTGGACATGGTGGTGGACCAGGTCGGTGAGCGAGGTCAAATGTGGTGAGAGAGGAGGTGGTGGTGAGAAGTGGTGGTGGTGATGATGGAGATGAAGTTGGTGGATCGGAGGCAGGTGGTGGGTGACGCGGGAGGCGAGGAGGGGGAGATGTATGAAGTCAGAGAGGAGGAGGTGGATGAAGAGGTGGTTGTGGATGATGAAGTCGGAGGAAGAGGAGGGGAAGAAAGTGGTGGAAGAGGTAGGTGGTGGTGGTGGTGGGGGATGTGGAGGAGGTGAGAGAGGTGGAGGATGAGGTGAGAGTTGAGGAGGTGGGTGAAGTGGTGGAAGGGGAGTTGAGGGAAGAGGTGGAGGTTGAGTTGAAGGAGAAAGAAGAGATAGAGGAGGAGGGGGGGTGTGAAAGGGGAGGACAAGGCTGAGGAGGAGAAGAAGCCGCGTTCCGCTCGGGGCCTTAGGGCCGCGCCAGGCCCAGCACAGCACTTGACGTCACCGTGACGAAATATGACGCCACGCGACGGGCCAGGGGCATGACGTCATGTCATCGGCGCGTGACGTCACGGTGTAAACAGCCCTGCGCGCAACCCTGATAAGCTCAGGTTAATTGATTTGCAGACCCATACTTAAACAGACCCATATATTGTACTCGCAGATCCAGACCCATAGGCAAAGTCTCGCAAGGTGATTCATAAACCCACATAGACCACGGACACACACAGACGCATCGACTCAGACCAACCCACACAAATGCAAACTCACAGATACTTTAACACCGAGACGAATGCTTACACAGACTCACACTCTCACACGCCATAATCTCAGACCCATACTTAGACTGAATTGTTATGAAACAATTCCCAAGCCCAGCGAGTAAATCACTCGTGAGATTTCGCTTAATTTGAATGAATTTTAGCCAATTACAACACCGCATTGTCCCACGCCCTGATTACAAGGGCATCATCTACGGGAAGGTCTCCTGCTCGTGTAAAGTCAAACAGGCCACGGTGGGGGGGGGGGGAGGTGTTCGTGAACACCTCTCATCCAGCTCCTCTCACATCATCCCCCTCCATCTCCACCACCTCCACAACCTCCCTCCACCCTCGTACAAAACTGCAACAAACTCCACGAGCTTCTAAACAAACACTTTATTGGTCAGCAAATCGTCAGCGCAGGTGTCTCCCATCATAGAGGGCAGCACGTATGTAGTGACGACGTTCATAGAAAAAGAGGTGGCGGAATAAGTTACAGGTAAGGGTGGGGTCACGGCCGCACGCACCGCGACAACAAGTGACGCCTGTATATTTCGAGTTTGCATGTTCTCCCCGTGGTCGCTTGGATTTTTTCTATAGGTCCTCCGTTTTTTCCCCCTTCACATTTTAAAACATGCGTTTAGACCATTTGGACGATTACAAAATTCCACATAAGCCGCTTCGAAAATGTATCATGTGGCCAGGTCGCTTCCGGGAAAAAGAGCTGGAAAGCTCAGCGAGCCTTACCTGGTAGAATAAAATGAGAGCGAGTTAAAAGTGTTTCACAATTTTGTGCGATCTTCAGTTCCAGTTAACGGACCCCCCCGTGTAACGCCAAGTAAGCCACGCTAGCAAAGGACGGCCTAATCTTCATAAGGTGAGGTTGTCGACGATAACGATTTAACTTGTTTACACAAAAAAATGCTCAGTCTCACGAAGGTCGTGCTAATTTTTTCATTGCAGGGGGCGAAGAATGCCATCTTTCACAACTGAACCTGATGGCGATACCCCGGGGGGTACCATAGTACCCCGGATCGCACAATCGTCCTCGCTGCGTTTCGACATCGCGGAGTAGCACCAATTTCGGATTGGTACCCCCCAGTTGCGGAGTTAAGTCCCAGAAAAAAATATATTGAATTGCCTCGGCCATTCTGTATTATTTGGTACCCCGGGGTTCCGCCATAAGGATAAATTTAAGAATAGTTTATGGTGTAATCACTAACCAACCACAGTTAAGTAATCCCACACTACTGTCTGAAATCCAAGTGCTGCCAGTAATCCGTGCTGTCTGGAATCCGGCATTAGCACCAACAATCCGCGTTGCCTGCTGTGATTCCGTGCTGCCTGCAATGCAAAACGCTGATCGAGTAATGCTTGCTAGTCGAGTTGTGGATGAGTTTAGCATCGAACGAGAACCTATATTCTTGTCTAGAAACATCTAGCAGTTCACCAAGTGGCTCAAGTAAGCCCAAATCTGCTGACGCGACAATGTTTTGAAATCTTGTTGAAATATGCACTCCGACAAGGCCGTATGCCTGATGAGATGTGAAAAAAAACGTCCCTAATTATTTTTGTCTGCTTAGTGCTCTACGACACTGCGGATTTATTTTTGCTAGAAAACATTTTAACTCGAGCAGCTTCACAGCACTCGCTCACCGCAACGAACACCCACAAGCTTCACACACATACACACGAGGCGGCACGTCACTTGCACAGGTACCCCGCATCAGAGGCCAGTCACGTCATGACGAGGTCCGTAGTAAGGAGGTGGTATAATTAACAGTTATAGACGAGGTGGTGTCACGACCGTTCTATTCTCACCGGTAACAAAACATCGGTCGTAGGCACCTATGAGAATGAATAATCACTCGCAAATATGAACATTTGGTTCCCGGCATACCGACCGTTGTGTCACGCCGAGTAAATCACGGTGGCTAAGAATGACTTAATCTTCATCAGATGAAGTTGTAGATGATGACGATGACGACGATGACGACGATGATGACGATGAAGATGACGAGGATGACAGTATGTGTGTGCCCACAATATTGGTAGTGGAGTTTTTGGCACGGAGGGAATTCCGGGTGCCCTGCGTCTCAGCGCGTCGCTGCCGGACTACGCTCATGCGGGCCCGGGCGGCTCCCCCTCTCCGGCGTAGGGGGCAACTCGGCCGCTCGTGCGGCCAGCGGCGGTCCTCGTTCAACTCCCTCTCCGGCGCCCAGTTCAAATCTCTCGCCCGAGAAGTCGATGCCGATGCCCCTTGGGCTGAATTGGTATGGGGCACAGAGGGAGGACACAATCCAAACATAGAGACATTTGGACTTTGTTGTCCTGGGCATTACGAGTGATGCGTAACTGTGCAGGGTGTGTGCACTGCGCGGCGTTAAGACGCACCGAGCTGCAATCTCTCTCTCACAATCTCGTCTCTCTCGGCCTTTTTCTCCTGCCCTAGCGACTCGACCATGCGAGCGATGCAGTTGTCGAGGACGAGGGAGGGCGTGCTGGATGTGGGGCTTGCGCGGCAGATTGGGCACAGCTCCTTCTGCTTCAGCCACTCCTCGATGCAGTTGCGGCAGAAAGTGTGAGCACAGCTCAGCGTCGTGGCCTGCACCACCACCGCATCGCACAGGGGGAGGGCCACGCCAAACACTCTTAACCCTAACTTACGGCTCTTGCGATTCAGCAGCGGAAGTGCATTTATAAAAATAATTAATAACCTGTAATGTAATCTGATTAAATCGATAAAAACCATCCAAGCAGCAGTAACAGCAGCAGTAGCATCAACAGAAGCAATAACATCAGCAAATGCAGCAGTAACAATAGCAACATCAGCAGAAGCAGCAGTAATAACAGCATTAGCAGCACCTGAATGAAGAGCTCGGAGCAGATGATGCACTGCAGCTCATTCTCCATCACGTTCTCAAACGAGCAGATCACCTGTTTCTTCTCAGTCTTCTCTTGCTGCGGCGGTAACAACAACAGCAGCAGCCATAGCGTCACCGCCAGCATCCTCACCACTGCAGCAGCGCCATACGCCAGGCGGTGCTGTGTTCCCCGTCACCAGTTGTCAGTGGAGTAGCGTGCATGCTGAGTTAAAATGGAACCAGTGTGCAAAATATGTAGACTATCTGCTTCCTTCCCACATCTGTTCCTACACATAAAGAAAACTATGTTTAGCGCATCCCACCGGCCACACGGCATTCTGGGAGTGCTTAATTTTATAATTCTATAAAACTGCACACAAACACCACTGTTGAAGCCACACACACGCATGTGCACGCAGTTCCCTGCCGTCAACTGCCGTCCGCACCTCTAGCTGCATCTGCTGCTCGCGGAGTGCCAGCTGGTTCTGCCGCTGCCTCTCTCTTTCCTCCGCAAGCTCACGCTGCAGGCGGCGCCACTCCCGCTCGCTGCGCACTCCCACCACGTCGTCCTTGCCGGGCTCGCACGAGGCGGCTCCAAGCCAGCGCTTCCCTCGCTTCTCGTCGGCAATTCCCACAGGGGAGGGCCAGGGTTCCGCCGCGGGGCCGCTCCGCACACTCTCACAATCCCCTCCATGTCCTTCGCCCTTCTCCGCTGCTGCACTCTCCAAGGTGCTTTGCGTGGGGTCATCCTCTTCCCCGCCACCGCCGCCGCTCCGCGAGGTGCCTGGGTTTGACCTCCGAGGGAGGTCGCCGGTCGACTCCTGCGTCTCTCGTGATGGCGCATCTCCGAGCTCCCTGGCTCCGCTATCCTGGGAAGGGCCTGAATGGGCGGCGTCCATTCTGGGTTTCTTGCCAGTGAACGGCCTCGGCCGGTGGAGGACACTGCCAACCCCACGCGTTTCCTCCTCACGCTTGCGTTTCTCGGGCGGGGAGCCCGAACTTGACGGCGCTGGCGGCTCGGCGAGGCAAGTCCGCAGCGCCGTGCGCACCACGCGGTACTCGAACTCGGGGCTCTGCTGGCTTTCGAGGCGCACGCCGATCTGCACGGTGTCGCCCGCGGAGAGCACGTGTGGCGTGCCGGGATCAATCCGCTCCCCGTTCACATACACGCCGTTGATGCTCTGTAAAACGCAGGCAATGCACATCGCAAATGTCTATTACTATTTATTGTTATTATGCTTGTTTAGTTTTGAAATTCCTAATCTCCTTCAACAGATATAAGTGATAGATGATGATGATATGGTGATTATTATTTTCAGGCTTGTTTATGCAAAGGTTCTGAAAAGAGTTTACAGTAGGGGTAATGATTACTACGTGGTAAGTAAATTGTGGTGTCATTTTTTTTATTTAGAAAATTTGGACTGTGACGCCAGCATAGAGTGGCCTATTCTTGCAAATGATATAGGAACGTTATTGTCTGCTGCAGAGCAGATGGCGTGTAGTGTTTTACGATTAAATACACACGAAAGTATTAACTAGGACGGACTGCCAAATTCCAACCACAAACCTACGCAACGAGTAGCGGCCAAGCCACTGTTGAGCCGAGTCATAGCCCCAGCAAAGCACAAGCGCAGTGGTGCACGGTGGGTGGCCTGGGTGCAGAGATGCTGAATGAGGCAGTATGGCTGCACCTGCAGCAGTTGCATATTTTGTAAATATCCTCTGTAATGAGATGAGAGCCCAAGGAGACAAATCTCTCAAGGGAGGCCTGGACCACAAGAGGCAAATGGAGCCACGCAGAACCGAGTAATACAGCACCAGTGTCATCTATCAAGTGGTTCGCACACTGTGCTATGAACCTCGCAACCAGAGGTTAACACGGCGGCGAGTGATATCCGAGCCGGTCCCAAGCTACTCCTTATCAACTAGCCAGTGTGAAGACTGAAATGACATTTAATTACCCAGAGGTAATTAATCTCTTATAACCATTTTATACTGGCATATCCGAGCCATGCTAGGGCCGTGCCAAGCCAGCACGGTGTGGGTCAGGAAGCACGGGTTGCTTTTCCACTGCACGCAAGCCAAGCCGTGCGGCTGACGTCATGCGCAATTCATGACATCAAGACCAGCGTATGCGACGCTGCCTACGAGCTGCGCCAACTAACGTCGCACACATTGCACAACTCGCTATCCCCACCCCTAGCCCTGCTTGGCCCTAAACCAGCTTCATGTGTCTTGTAAGGCAAGCAGAGCACGATTACATTAAACGCCTGTGGAAAACCGACCGTGTAAGCACAGGCCCTGCACTGGCGCGCCTCGGATGCACGAGCGGGAATGTGGAATTGGCGAGCGCTCTGGCCGGGCACCCCAGCACGCCGGCGCCATCGTACCCGGCAGTCGGTGACGCTCCAGCAGGGCTCTCTATGCGGGGAGGCTCCTGGTGGGCAGCGGGTGAACACGCAGTGTTTGCGCGACACCATGAGTGGGTGGTGAAGCGACACGAGGCGCGCCGTCACCTCCATGCCACGGCCACACGCCACCTGCAGCCACACGTTCACAACGCGCATAATGACATCACAACGTGGATTTATATCCATATGGGATGGCAGTGTGGCAGAGTGGCGGCGCAGTCGTACAGTAGATCATTGATTATCCGGCTTCCAACATAATCCAGCGCACCCTTCCCCCCGAGGCCGCCGGATAATCGATGATCTACTGGAACACTCGCGTCTCACAGCATCAAGGATACCGGTTCGATTCCCGACTCGGGCGCCTTACTATCTGAAGTGTTGATCTTCTCCCCGTGTTCTTAAGAGTGTGAGTGGAGTGTGAGCGTTATGTTAGTGTGTGGTGTGGTGAGCGTGGAGCTTTGTGTGTTCTCCCCGCTGTTTTTCATGGGTTTCCAACGCGTTCTCCCAATGTCCTCCTACAACTGCCACCATGTAGAATGTCATTGTCGTTTACCAACCATCCAAATGCAGAACCCTCTTGGAAACGAGTATTCAGACTCGTAAACGTGATGCGGCAGTAACGCTCATTATGACAACTCAACCTGGAGTGAGACGCGATCACAGTCGTTTAGTGACCAACTCGCCCGTTACGCACCCAAGCATCCTCCCCACACAGAGGACAGCACTCAAACTACCGGACAGGGTGTGCCCTACAACTTGCGCTACTGTCTTTTCACTGGCCACATCCGAGCCACGCAAGTTGTGAGTCTGGCGCTCGTGCTATTGTCTGCGTGACCCACCAACCCCACGGCCGGTTTGCCATAAGCACCTCATCCTCATCACCACCTCATCCTCATCACCACCTCATCCTCATCACCACCTCATCCTCATCACCACCTCATCCTCATCACCACCTCATCCTCATCACCACCTCATCCTCATCACCACCTCATCCTCATCACCACCTCATCCTCATCACCACCACCCTCTGCCCTTCACCACCAAAATCACCTCCAACTTACCAATCACCGCATCCTCCCCGCCATCAACATCATCACTATCGCATAATAACACCACCTTATCACTACCACCACCTTCAGAATTATAGCATCCCTTCACCATCACCACTACCACCTCCAACCCACCATTATCACCACCACCACATCACCCTCCTCACCACCTCCCCTTCCCTTAATCACCACCTCTCGCCACCGTCACGAACCGTCGCCCCGCGCGCACCTCGTCTCCCGACAGCAGGATCCGGCCCTTGTGGTGGCCCATCCGCTGCAGGTACCACTCCTCCTCTTCTCCCTCCTCCTCCTTCTTTTCCTCCTCGCCCTTCCCTCCTGCCGCCGCCGCCGCCTCCTCCTCCTCGCCCTGCGCCGTCGCCTCCGCGCGTAGCACCACGCCACCCGCCGCCATCGCTCCTCTGCGGACCCCCTTCGCCACGTGACCGGCCCGCCGGACCACGTGACGCCAAGCGCGTTTGGAACTCGGGCTGAACGATTACGGGAAAATATCTAATTGCGATTTTTCTGACATTGCGATTTTTATTTGGTTTGCGATTAAAATTTTTTTAAAGTCAAGCTTCAGTTCAATATTCACTGTGTAATAGATTTTAAAAATATGATGGAGCATTACCACATGATACCATCAAAATATAAACTGCTCTATATATTCCAATGCAAGGATGAGAACTTAAAATATATGAATTGCTTCCAACATGTATTTATTTTTTAAAAAAATATTTAAATAGATCAAACATAGAACAATTGTTAAGTTAAATAAATAAAGTTATAATAAAAAATAAAACATTCCAAGAAGAATAATAGGGTTTTTCCCCTTTTTTTCTGGCAAAACTGAAACCTTTTTACAAGGATTCATGTCTGCATTAGCCACAATACCTGCAGTCAAAATGGAAACAAAAACATACTATGATAATATATGCATTGTCCTTGAAAGGCTATATATTATCATAGTATGTTTTTTTGTTTGCATTTTGACTGCAGGTATGCGGACATGAATCCTTGTAAAAAGGTTTCAGTTTTGTTGCCAGAAAAAAGGGGGAAAACGCTATTATTAATTTTGGTACTGACAAAAGAGGTCTAATGATGTAGATTCCAAAAATAAAGTAATGACTTTTCAAATCGCAAAAAATCGCAGCCTTTGCGATTTGCTAATCGGATTGTTTGAAATTGCGATTTGAAATCGATTAATCGTTCAGCTCTATAATTGGAGCGTGTCCGATGCCACGAGCCACCCCCTACAACAGGGGTGGGGAACCTTTTTTTCTGCCAAGGGCCATTTGGATATTTATAACATCATTCGCGGGCCATACAAAATTATCAACTTAAAAATGTGGCTGTTATATTTGGTCAAACGTTTAATTAACTCACCCCTAATGTGATGGCTGGAACTGCTTCTCGTTGGCGAGGCGTGTGATGTTAGCTGGTATTGACGATGTTGCTACTCGCAACTGCATTCCAGGTTTGCTTCTAGATTTATTGAATTTCGAGTCCCGGCTGCGGTTGCCTTGGCAGGGCCATACCAAATGATTTCTCGGGCCTAATACGGCCCGCGGGCCGGACGTTTCCCATCCCTGCCCTGCAAGAATGAGAATCTCGATTTTTATTCCGGAGGAATCCGATGAGCTTTGAAGCTCTTTTTTCACAGATGTCAAAAGGGGCGCGGGGGTCAGAAAGTTCAAAGAAAACCTCCCGCCAGCAAGTTATGTTGCTCACCAATGTGCAGTCTTATTGAGGGCCCTGTGTTGTTGTCTTGCTGTGGTCTGGGACTGTTGTGGTTTATTCTTGAAAATGTACGGTTATTAATTTTCGGACTTATCATACAATTTGTACTCATGTACGTTCTTTATTTTAATTAGTAAATTCACGTTCCGTGACTCGCTGACCTTTTCTCGATTTCACAATACAATATCGTTTTTTTGTTGCCGTAATGGAAACTTGCCGACGCGCCTCGCCTTGCCGGACATCCGTGACGAAGAGCTTCGGAGCTCATCGCATTCCTCCGGGGGCGAGCGCAGATGGCGAGTCTCTCCCGTGGAGTGACGGTCACCGCGTGGTTTAAACGCCGCGCAAAGATCCAAAACGCGCGGGGGACCGGGCCGGGCTCTCTCCCTCCGTGGTGCCCCCTCGCACGGAACCCAGCAACCTCTCCCCCCTTCCCCTCTCCCCCTGCTCGCGAGAGCCCCACTCCCACCCGGCGTCCGATGGTTCGACTTTTGTCAGAAATGTCACTCGCCGTTGCATCTACGATCAGTCTCCGAGCGATCGAGCGCTTAGTTAAACACCGTAGTACGCTTTTCGCTACCAATATTATTCATGATTTTTTTGGGGGTTAGACCGCGTAAATATAATCGCGTCGTGAAACCCGCCACCACCCGACAACAGCCAATTAGTAAGGTTCGTCACGTAAACAAAACATTTCTTACTACAGGTCACCCACCATACGTCGATTGTGATCAACTGAGCAGAGAACCGATACCTGCTATTTTCGTGCACACAAAAAACGGCAGGATGTACAAGCACAATGTGCATGCAAAACATGTTGATTACCCCATGAATAACCCAACCGGTTATGTATATCTATAGTAATTTATATGCATCACCCCCCTCCCTCACACACTTTTTTTCCCCTTGGACCGGATTGGTTCACAAGTGACGACATCACATTCATCTCCTCTATTTGAGAACGACACAGGGTTTCTCCACAAATCTCGCCTGATGATGCTCGTTGGAATGACTGGTGAAACGTCGTACTCGAATTGTAAATGTAGTGTTTACTGTCCAAAACATCGTGTGCTGCACGATTAAGGAATTGGCATGTTTTGTTTACGTGATAACCCTTATTAATTGGCTGTCGCGTAGTGGCGGGTTTAACAACACATTTATATTTACGCGATCCAACTTAAAAAAAACCTCTATTATGGATCCAGCGCTTAGTTCGAAGCAGTCACTTCGCGGACACGTTGCCCATCTTTACGCTCAAACTCCAGGAAAAGTGCGCACTTCAGTTGCCGGTTGACATTTGGAGTGGACTGAAACTCTCTAAATAAGGGTGTATGGCAGCAAGAGCAGTTTATGCGAATGCTATACTCTTTGGTTCTATTCGGTAAAGTCACGTAGGTAAAAAATAAAACAACAAAAATCACGACGTTTCGGCCACAACACAAGCGGCCTTCATCAGGTGAAGGGATCAGGCTGTCTCGAGGACAGCGCTGGAGTGAAACACAGCCACAAACACAGACACAATTTCAACCGAGAAGATGGTTTCAAATTAAGCAACCATTGGAAAGATGTTCTAAATCGAACTAAACATTAAACTAATTTCAATGGTACAGTATATTTTTCAAGTAGTGGTACCCCAAACTTTCGCAGCTCTTATAAATTCCCTTTTCACACCATCAATAGGTAACCCCCCCCCCGCGCCAAACGGCAAGTCCCCCGGCATGTACACCACCTCTTTTCTAAAATCGGCCAATCAAATGCTAATTTTTATGCTAATTCCTTTGTCAGGACACCTTGTTTGCTCGCACACAGCTTAAAGGTCCGCGGTCTGAGCGTGGCTGTGTTTCACTCCAGCGCTGTCCTCGAGACACCTGATGAAGGCCGCTTGTGTTGTGGCCGAAACGTCGTGATTTTTGTTGTTTTATTTTTTCCCTACGTGACTTTACCGAATAGAACCAAAGAGTATGGATCCTTGCAGTCACGAAAGCTTTAAATCTAGAATTATGCGAATGCTGTCGCAAGAGGTCGCACGTTTGGCGCTATGGTCATTCGCTATGCATGAATGTCCTGCCAAGTTTTCGTAGTAGGGGGCGATGTTGCTGTGATCCCAATGGAATAGCTAATACAAGTTACTATGTACAGTATGTTTTCGTGTACCAGCAACCATAGAACTCACGCAGAATTGACAGTGAACGAACAACCTCCACTTCAATTTTGATTTAAAGCTTTCGTGACTGCAGTAATTCGTATTCTTAGCTCTTTCGGTAAAGTCACGTTGAAGGGAAACAATAAAATATATAAAACAATAAAAATTCTCACGACGTTCGACAATAACGCAAACGGTTTGCGTTATGGTCGAGAATTTATATTGTTTTATATATTTTATTATTTTATTGTTTCCCTTCAACGTGACTTTACCGAAAGAGCTAACAATCAGCTCCACTCACATACAGCAAGGCGCCAGGCCCTGAAATCGAACCCAGGCGCTGCTTGCAGTGAGGTGCGAGTGTCATCAATGCACTGCCACCCTGGGTCAGCAAGCGACACGCAAAGACAGGCAAACGCACGCTCCACCGTGGTGCCTCCAAAAGCAACTTTATTCGTAATTCAAAAAGCACGACAGCTCGCAGCGCCAATGCGCATCATACGACAACACGTAACACGACAGTTTGACAGCAGGACAGCTCGCAGATTTCCGTGCATATCGCAGTGCAGAGCTTGCAGCGAACAGCATGGAGCACAACAGTTTGCAACTCGTAGCACGCAGCTACGATGTGCAGCAGGACGCTCGCAGGATGCAGCTTGTTGGGCGCAGCTCCTTCTGCAGCAAGCAGCGGCGACAACAATGTCTTCCAACAGTAACAGAGGAATGAGCCAACGTGGGCAGAGGCACACGTGCAGCTTGTGCTGGTGGCTGGCTTGAAAATGGGTTATTGTTGAATGTGACAGCAGGGTTAAATAACTAGTTCGCTAATTGGTTACTGATCAGTGTAAGAGTTGGTTCTAATAACTGGTGGGCTAGAGATAGGGGTAGGGCGATAGTTTGTTTGGCTTCACACTAACCACTCTCCTCCCCATTTCAATGGATGGTCCTTTTAGTTTTTAGTCTCTTTTCATTACTGTGTCCACAAGGCCCACACAACCACACGGCCCGCACAGAGGGCACAGCCTGCACCCCTGCAGAGCCCGCAGAGGGCGCAGCCAGCACGGAGGGCCCCATGTCCTCAACATACCGTGCAACAATCCACTCCCTGGCAACGCCGTGCCGTCCTCGGGCATCACGGTAAAGTCTCTCAATCCCCCCCCCCACTGCCTCATGCCCAACCCTCAAAACCACCTGGATCTCCTAGATTACACACGCAGGGGTCACGTTGCAAGAACACCGTGTTTCCTTTTCCACAATCAACAGCAATTATCTCCAAGGCAAACAGAAATGTGACATGAGCAGCTTATTTTAGGCTGTTGTGTGCGGTTCTGGTTGCAGCCTGTGAGTAAATAATTCTCATCCGAAAGGAAAGCGGTTTAAATAATCGTCAGCTCTTCTTCACGCCCTCCAAATAAGCTTAAACACTGGCAGAAGTGCATGAACATCGCAAATCAAGTAAAAAAAAGACAAGAAGCGTACGTACATCAGTGCACAACGACCACAACCGCCGCGGCACGGACACGACACAGGCAGCGCCAAGGCCACTCAC